GCTTCTCTCAGGGTACATATTTGTTGGTTCTCAAAAATGTAGTCCTGAGCACATATTTCCAATGAGCTTGGGTTGCAAAGTTTAGGGGTGCTAAGTGGAATTGTTAGTGCAGCTAACGCCCCTCTAAAAATAGGCTAGTTTGATATTGCGTAAGTACAGCTCAAGTACAGTGCTCCTGGTCACATTCACTTCAGTCAAGAGAGTTAAGGACTTGAAGGCATTGTCGGTTTAAGGAATCGAATCATGCTTGGAATCTGGCCATTTGAGGCTGTACACTTATCACAGGGCAAATATAGGGGGGAAATGAACACATATCCCAGGTAGCAAAGAATTCTGCCCCAGATTTGGCATAAAGCTGGCACAGCAGGCATTCGTCTGGCACTGGCATGCAACATATGGGCCAAACATGGCCCAGGTTTGGCTGAGGTGGCACCGTCTTATAGGCGGCCCTCAAGACTTGGGCCAGATCTCAAATGTAGTATTTGGCCCAGATGTTTAAATGTACATGTGGGCCACATAAGTTTGGCCTAGCTTGACCCACTTTTAAAATACATTTATATTATTTTTGAGCAAAGAAAAAATTCTATCAATCAGGTCGCTTCAAGAAAAAGCACAGCCATAAAGCGAAATGCTTCATGGGTTTATAAAAAACATTGCAATCGTAACACACCAACTTATCGGGCCCAGTTCAGGCCCAGTTATGGGTTATTAATTTGGCTGAGACTTGGCCCACATATGGTCCATGTTTGCCGCTTGTATGGAAGCCAGAATTGGTCCAGTCATGTACCGTAATTCACTGCGGCATGTGGGCCAAGCAAATGCTGATGGTGTGGGCCAGATCTGGGCCAGAGAAATTTTGCTATGGGGGATGGGTTAAAGAAAATTGTCTGTTGTAGCGTGAATGTATTTGCACTCAGTGTGGAAGGGTAATTTCCGGATAATTCTATAATTTACTAACACATGTGTGTTTTTCATATTTCTTCAAAAGCTAAGGAATGTAAACCTGAGAGGAAGTTTGTCCTTTTCGGCAAGACAGGAGTTGGCAAGAGCAGCACTGGGAATACAATCCTTGGACAAAATCTATTCAAGACTAAAGCTTCACCTACATCTGAGACTGTAGCAATGAGCTAGCTATGAGGAGACCATCAAATCTGAAATCATCAAATCTATCACTGAAATGGGTCCTAGTGTTGACATGTGCATTATGATTCTTAATGTTGCCAGATACACAGAACAAGAAACGGCGATTATAGATACTTTAAAGTCATATTTCGAAGAGTGTGAGGACAGCCTCAAGCATATATCTATTTTATTCACTCGTGGTGAAGATCTAGAGGGTCAAACTATTGAGGAGTTTGTACAGAAGAGTGCAAAACTACAGGAACTTGTTGATTCATGTGAAGGCCGCTGTTTTGTCATTGATAATAAACATTGGAAAAAGCGCTTGCGGGGCTACAAGAGCAACCGAGTTCAGCTGAGAAAAATGCTGAAAACCATAGACAAGATAGAGAAGAAAACCGGCTACAACAATGAGCTGCTTCACATGGTGGCGGAGGAAATTGAAAAGGAGATGAAGGATATGAAGGAGGAAAATCTGTCTGCAGAAGGCAAACGAGACAAAGCAAAGAAGAGTGTTTATGAAAAGCTTTGGATTAGGCTTGCAGGAGTGGGTACAGGGATGCTGATCGGAGCGTTTCTGGGCATCGGAGTCGCAGTGGCAGCTGTTGTGGCTTTACTGAAAGCAGAAAATGTTACAGCAACAGTAAAAGCCGTCTGTGTGAGAGCAGTCACTACAGCTCCGATCATCGCAGGCGTTGTGCTGGGAACTTCTGCTTTGGCAGGAGCTGTTGAAGGAGGACTCACGGGATGGGACAAAGCGGATGAAGCTGATTCTGTCTGTGAGGTGATGACCAAGACAGCAAAGGCAAACTTAGAGAAAGCCAGAAACATTTATAAAATGGCACAAGACCTCACTAATGATAATGAGTAGACGATTGTTGCAAACAAAATGAACAAACACAGAATCTGTTTTTTACTGTAACCGTTTCATAAGTGCGACTTTTCTTGGCTGTATTTTATATGACAGTTAACCAGTTAAACTCTGCTGTTATTTTAGGATTTCTGCCTGGATTTTGCCTCCCCAAATTTAAAAGCTTCCCAAATCCACATGCAGAGGTGTAAATGCAAAAATTTGGTATCATTTTAAAGAAAACCCTTTGAATTTTCATGAAACACTATTGAAAGTGTTTAAAATAACTGTATATGTGGTCTGTGTTATAATAAACACCTAAAAAAAGAGGTGCTTTTTGTATTTTTTGGTCCCACTTTATACTGTGGCCTTAACTAATATGTACTTACACAGGATTTAATAGTTTGTTACAATGTACTTATTGTGTAAATACATGTATTTACTGTGTACTTATGCACAATTAAATACCTGTATGTAATTACATCTGTAATTAACTTCTGTACTTACATTTGTAAATACACTGCTGACCATTGCCTACACCTTAACCCACCCTTAAACCTACCCATACCACAAAACCTGTCCATAACCCAACCTCTATCCCAACTCAAAAGCACCACAAGTGTTCTCAAATACATTATGAACACAGTAAGTACATTGTATTTATTTTTTGATGCAAGTACATAGTAGTTAAGGACACTTAATATAAAGTGGGACCATTTTTTTTATAAACTCAAATTTGAAAGTGTACCTTTTAGGGTCTGTGTGGTCTAGCGTGCTGTAATTAATGTTGGTGGTTCCTGCACATGTCTGTAATCATAGGAAAAAAGAAAAATGTCTCCACCATAATCTATGCAAAAGTTATTGCATTCCAACTGATGAGAAGTGCTATAAAAGCCACAGGGACCGATCACTGTTTACATATTTCACTAGTCTTTTGTTTGATCAAACATAATTCACTGTGTTTGGACCACGTCAGACATATAAAAGCATTACTTATGCACATCACCTCAAAAACAGAGGAGAAATGGCCCTGATGCACACAGCATAAGGTAAGAGATGACAGCTGTCTGTGCTATCTGGGGCTGCTTAGTGATCATAAATGTATTGTTTTTACTTCTGCGCCAATGAAAACACTGTGATTCATTCGGAAACTGTTTAATATGTGAATATAATTAAGTAAAAAAGAATGCTTTAACTGTATTAGCACCAGCAAGAGCTTTCATTTGAGCTATAACTTGTACAGTGTCAGTGGTGAAATTTGTTACACTATCATTGACCATGTTTTTTTGCTAACAGAGGCTGGTGAAAGAGCGCTGCCCAATTTAAGGCAGTAAACGATTGCCTCCATTATACGCATCTTTCAACAAATCAACAAGCATTGCATTTTACATGGATTATTTCTACTCTCTCTTGACATGTCAATATGGTCACACAGTAATGCGTATGTTGAACTTTTTGTCCCTCTCAAGAATGCAACGTCTTCCACCCTCTGGGGCAAAGAAAATCTCCTCTGTAATGATCAAGAGCTTGCCATTATTGAAGTAGTTGTTGCAAATACTGCAATGAAACTGCATGAAATTCAAACTAGAATTTTGGCGGACTGTGAGATATTTGACAATATTGATAGCATCAACCTCACAACTATTACGCGGACATTGTCCAAACACAGAGTGCTGATGAAGCAGCTCTACACTGTTCTTTTTACTTTCACTGTTCTGCACTTTGCACTTGCACTTTGCAAGTAGGTAACCTACACAGTAATAAGATTCATTACAGTTTGGTATACAGTAATGACATGGTTTACATCAATTTTGTTTCAGGGAGTTATGGAATTGGTGGCCAACCTGGCCCCTCATGAATTCATATACATAGATGAGGCAGGACATCAGCATGTCAGGTTATGGTATAATACAAAATGCATGCTTGCCTTTCTCAATGATCTCCACCAAGGCCACCCAAGACTGGTAAATCTCTTCCTTCCACCTTATTCACCTTTCTTCAACCCCATAGATGAGTACATTTTTGCATGGAGGTGGAAGATTTATGACCATCAGCCACATGGCCAGATGTCCCTCCTTAAAGCCATCGATGATTTTTTGCAGGGACATCACAGTTGATGATTGATTGCCAAGGGAGGATCTGACATACCAGGCGCCAGGTGGTTTTATCCAAGGTGTAGTGCCTTAGATAACATCAAAACAGTGGATTGCATGTTTTGCATGCAAATACCTGTAAATCTGAAACATAAAAATCTCTGCAGTTTTTGTAATGTCATCAATAGCCAGTATTTTGAAACCAGTTGTACTTTTATTGAATGCATGTACCTTGTGAAGTGAAAACAAGTGTTATTCTTTGACAGAATAATTTCCTTTTGAGTCAGATTTACAGTGTTTTGATAAAGTTAGTGTGTGCATAGAAAGATGTACTCTGTATTGAAATGAATAGTCAGTATATATTTAATGAAACATAGTTTTGAAAAAAAAATTATACATTTTGCCAATTGTGTTTTGTATAGGTGTGAGTCTGTGTTAAGAAAAAGAGTTAAGAAAAGGTGTCTGAAGTATGGGTAATCGCTTGTTAGCTATTGAAAAAAAAGTAAAATAACAAAAATTGCCTAAACAAAATACCTAAATATATTTCAATTAATATATAAAACCATAACAGAATCTAATGATTTTCACTACAAATGCCATTAAAACCTTTACAAGCCATTACATCTTAACTATTAAAATCGGCACATTTTAAAGCCATCAAGTGTGTCCATAAGGATTCATTAGATTTTTTACATGCCACCAACCCAATAGACGGCAAGTTTGACCTATTAAGACACCTATAGGACCAATACAGTTTCCATTGAAATTTCAATAATGAATATTGACCACATGACTAAACCATTACAAAACCTTTTATTTTTTCTTTTGTATTTTTTACAGCAAAAAAGCACCTTGCTACATAAAAGAACAATAAGAAAGTGACTTAACTGTTTCTGTCATTACCGTAATTGCAGTAATACGCGCTCATCTCGCCTCAGGCTTTCCTTGTAACGTAATTTTCAAGCAGCGCAGCGACTTGCTGTTTTGACCGCAGTGAAGAGCTTCGACAAGCTTACAGCAATAATAACGTTTTCTACTTCGTTTGGCTTGGTAGCCTATTCTTATTGTGCTGTGGGCTAATCCTTGCACTTCTCCCACTAGTGTGTGCTTTTAAAGCATCTCCTGCACATTCTGCCAGTACTGCAGCAGCAGCTGATTCAAAGCGGACAGCTCGCAGAAAACACGCAGACTCCTGGGGGAAACATGCACTGGCATAGACTGAAGAAGTCATGACGCGTGTTTTTTCTTTAATGAAACCGAAGAAATGAGTTGCGGTTTCTCTGGAAGAGGGATGGGATGCAGGAAACTCCGCCGATACTCCTCCGCCCGGGACTGAATGTGTTGGAGGGATGGAGCGGTTCACGAGACCCCGAGTGAAGGACATTAGAGAACACACTAGAACTGAAATGTGTTGCGTTTGGTTGGAAAACATGGACATATCCTGCTTGGGACGAGCTCTTCTGCCTATCTATGATTCTGTAGAGATTTTTGAGGCATATGGAGTACAAGTACAAAACTGTGAGAAGATGTCTGCATGTTTATTATGATTTATTAATGCACTAGTTTAACATATATTAAAATGTTTTGATCGTTAAATCAGATTTATTTTAACCTATGCAATTTTCTGATCTTCCATTAACTGTTTTATATACGTGCATTAATATATAGGACAAACTTTCATCCAGTCAGGCAGTTTATCTATGCATAAATCATAATTGTATTCTGGCATGCAAACAGTCACATGTCTTTACTATCTACAGCTAAGAAATGCACAGGCCAAGTGCCAGACTTGGTAATTGGGTCTGTCAACTATCTGTCAGGCATGTCTTTAGATTTACGTATAAAGCAACATTTTCTAGCTCATTTTAAATCCAAATAAGCTCTAGTAGCTGATTTTGGGCGTACTTGAGTTTTGGGACTTTCAGATTACAGCTCTTTTACTCTTTGGCAATCAAACAGACAGCATGGGAAACATACTTTATTGTTGCCGTAAAGTGTCAGAATATATTACCACCAAGGGAGCTGCTGATCAGACTGAAGAGCACTCGGCGCTCTTATCCCAGGAAAACAGCGATGGAGAAAGTGTCTCTCCTTCAAGGACCTCAGCTGATCTGCTGGACTCCCCAGTTCTGGACCAAGATCACCTTTTGTTTCCTGACATTGTGCTCAGCAGCAACCTTCACATCAGAGGAGACTCAACTGAGGCTTTGGAGCTCTTATTGGCAACAAGCGGGCAAGAGGCCAGCAGAGAAGATGGATTTGATGAAAGCAATCCACGAAATGGAGGAGAAAGAAATAGAGGGCTGGTGGGGCCGCCAAGCACAAACATCACAGGCACAAATCAATCACGCTCCATAGAGGATGAATGGCCTCTTCTGTCATCCCTCTACCAAGCACCTGCTGCTCAAAACCGAATATGCACCCATGGATTAGAAGCAGACACTTGTAAACCTGTCTTTGCTCATGGGACAGACGTTTCTTCCATGTTTGCTGCATCTTCACTAGATGTCTCAAAATGCGATTTTGACATCAGTCAGAGAGAAGATGGCACGACTCAAACAGAGCAGTACAATGAACTCAAAACCCCAAAGGAGCAATTACACGCCGAGAAGAAACAGGACAAAAAGAAACTAAACGAAAGTGGTCCAAACAGTGCAGCACAAGCACATCTAGATGCGATAAAGATGCAACCTGCTTATGGCATTCCAACTGAATGGCCTTTGCTTCAAAAGTCGCAAAGGGAAGCACAAACTTCAGAACTCACAGCACAACCTGATGAAAAACTAGACTTCAAAATAGATGCACAGGCTTCTGAGATACTAGAGATGCGAATTATTAAACACGAGCATGCTACTGAGAAGGAAACGTCTCTTGTAGAGCAACCAGACATTGCTGACATGAGCTCTGGGCTGGAGGAGCAAGAGTTTGGGGAGATGAAGCAAAGCCCTTCACAGATAGACCAGGGTTTTGTTTGGAATAAGGAAGTAGAACAGACGCAGTGGGATTTGGAAGTGCTAAAGCAGAGCTCAGGGTTATCACTGCAGCACTCTGAGCAGACAACCCTCGCTGTGACCCAGGTAGAAAGAAAAGAGGATCAGACTGAGCGCTTCACGCTTTTTGTGGTTGATAAACTGTTCCTGGCCACTCCGAACTTTACAGGTGGGTATTCACAGCTGCACAATATATATTATACAGTATTTGAACTGGCGACGCAGTGGCGCAGTAGGTGGTGCTCACAGCAAGAAGGTCACTGGTTCGATATGTGCCGATATGGAAATTGTTGGCAATGATAATCGATAACTCTTTGGATCTCGATAACCAATGTACCGGGCAATGAATATATATGAGCAATTCCAGCGTTATGGATGTGACATTTGCAGTAAAAACACACATAGAAAGTATATATAAACATTATATTATAAGTTTTGCTTATATTTTCCAGATCAACTGACCACAGAGTTAAGGGATCAGAAACATATCATTTTGTAAGCATGTTTTGTACTTTAAATGAGGAAAATAAGCATGCGTTATGGATGTGACAAAAAAAAAGTCTGTGAGTTTACAGTATACAACACACTTTGCTGAAATTCTGTGAATTAAACTGCACAACCCAAAAGAAATAATGATAATCTAAAGGATAAGAGTTGGCTCTCTATAAAACAAAAAGGATGTTTTTATTTTATTTAATATCTTCACATTTATGAGGAAAAAGTGTCGTTATGGGTGTGACATCTCTCCGTTATGGATGTGACGGATGTGAAATTGCCATTTGTGTCATTCATTTTCTTGTCGGCTTAGTCCCTTTATTAATCCGAGGTCGCCACAGCAGAATTAACTGCCAACTTTTCCAGCAAGTTTTTACGCAGCGGATGCCCTTCCAGCCGCAACCCATCTCTGGGAAACATCCACACACACACTACGGACAATTTAGTCTACCCAATTCACCTGTACCGCATGTCTTTGGACTGTGGGGGAAACCGGAGCAAACCCTCGCAAAGGCAGGGAGAACATGCAAACTCCACACAGAAACGCCAACTGAGCCGAGGTTCAAACTTGCGACCCAGCGACCTTCTTGCTGTGAGGCGACAGCACTACCTACTGCGCCACTGCCTCGCCTGCCATTTGTGTGACTTTTGTAAATCAAATAGAATAGTTTGAAAACACCGACAGATGCATTTTTGAGTATTTCTAAAGTACTGTAAAATACTTGCTTACACAAAAAACCCAGAAACGATTTCCGTATTTTAGTGAAAACTTTGTTTTTTTCATGGCAAGGTTGACATTTGCATGGAATTGCTCATATCTTGTTACAATTTCTACTAGGCATGGTCCTGTATAAGATTCTGATGGTATGATAACTTTGGATAAAAATATCACGGTTTCACTGTATTGTGATATATTGCTTTAAAAGATATTTGTTTTAAATGTCTAAAAAACGAAAATGTGTTTCCCTTTGGAACACTATATATTTTATTTTGATGAAGTTTTAAAGTATCTTGGAGCAGTAAACATGTCAGGCTAAATCAAATCACTCATTGACTTCTGCTATCTTCATAGTTTCAAAAGCAAAGATTTCTTTACAAATTGAAATAGCATATTTGGATATATTTTCTGCTGGAGATACTGTTGTCCTAAAAAAAAAAAAAATTTCTCATACCTTAGGAACAGGCTTGCAGAAAATGTTGTCGGTTTTAAAACCTTGACTTTTTCAAACCGCGATATACCTTGAAAACAGTTAATGTTCCATGCCTGGTTTCTACTGAGCTTGATAGGCATACAGTAAGACAGCTCATGTTATTTAACTGTAGAAAACAAAACGTCTAGATATTTTTCCAGTAAAATCAGAGGTCCTCGTTCATGTCATGTGAAGGCACCAATCAAAACGCTCATGGCAATCAGCAAACATTTAAAGTGTATCCACCAGTGGAAAAATTATTTTACATAGCAATCCCTATTTTGTTTTTTTTGTTTTTTCCTAAAGTAAATTAGTAAAGTGGTATGAGATGAGCCACACTTAAAAGTAAGTTCACTCAAAAGTTTAAAAGTAAGTTACATGCTAGTAATTTACTTTGCTTTATTAGATTTATAATGAAGTGATATGCATTTGAGTGTGCTATGAGTGCCTGGGAGCACAGGTCAAGAAAGTTTATTTTCCTTAGAGAGACATTTAATTTCGTACAAATGATAAATGGCAAATATTGGCCGATATATTTTCCTTGGTGTTATATTAATATTACTATTAAAAATGACCACTTAATCACTGATAAATCCTGATTTTAATACTGAGAGTTGGGAATCACTTTATTTTCATGGTCCCTTGAACACATTTTGTTAACTATAAGTTACATTGCAACTACATGCTAACTGATTCTCATTCGACTATTAGACTGTCAGGTTAGGGTTAGTTGGTGTAACTGTAACAGTATCAGCAGATATTAAGCAGACAGTCTACTTAATACACAAGTATATTTTGTGCTGAAACTAATAGATGTCTTTAAGTATATAAAATCTAATAATCATTTAAGAATAGCCCAAAATAGACTAGTCATCATCTACACAGGAAAGAACGACAACACTTGTGTATCTGTCTTATCAGTTTGATTTCACTGACATTTCATTTTTAATTACACTATTTAGATTTTCACCAAAAGCTCAAATTTAGGGCCTACTTACACTATGAGTAGCGTGCCCAGGCCAGTTTCCCGGATCGTTTGAGAAGTGTGAGTGCGCTGAATCGGGCTCAAGCACGGTTCACTTGGCCGGCCCTGGCCCGGTTGGAAGAGGTGGGCCTCAGCGCGGTTCACTCTCGCTTTCAGTTTCGGGCTTTGGCGCGTTTTGCACTCACACTACAAACGTACCGCGCCAAAGCCCGAAACTGAAAGCGAGACGTGACCTTTAAGGGACTGTTTCATATGGATTTATTAAACATTCTTACTGTTCAGTGAACGCAAACTGCCCTAGCTTATTAAATACGCAAATCCCTCACTGCATGACAGCTGCGCGCCTTCAGCAGACCTCCTCATTCCTGCAGCATGAGAGCTTTATGATTGTTTATGAGCGCCGAAAGTGGCGGATCTGTTCAGCGAAATATCTGACTGCGCGTCACTGCATCCCTAAGGACTGTTTGGCAAAATATTTGACTGCATGTCACTGCATAACAAATGACTGAAACGATATAACTAGAGAAATCTCCACTGTGCTGCTATGTGAGAGCGCTTCTCACTGAACAGCACAGCAGCGATGACGTAAGCATGTCCAGGCCCTATTGTGGTGTGAGTGCGGGCCGTCGGGGGAAACGGAAGGGGGGACAAGCGTGCTTTGGCCCGGTTTGAGGCAACTGTACCTAGTGTGAGTACGGCCTAGTTGGCTTGTTGCTGCAATGTAGCTTAAAGCCAAACCACACCTCATAGACAAATGCCAACAAACAAGCAGGCTGTTGTATTTGCAAGGTTTTGAAAAAAAAATATTGAAATGTTCACACTGCCCCAACAATTGCCACTCACAAAAGTGAAATAATTCATAAGAAATATTCTCATGGCTAAACAGACATATATGTTATCAGATTTAAGTCTGAGTTTGTTGTCATTTATTGGAAAATGATTTCACACTGCTCAGACGTCACACAATCCAACAAACAGATGTTCATTTGGGGGAGTTGGCCTTCATTGTCAACAAAATGTGCAAAAAGTACCATCAAAAATAAGTGATAACAATATTTCCTTTCCTATCATCTAATGCTTACATACAATTAATCTTCATTAACACTAATAAATGTAAACATTGCTAATTCTGTTGTGATTAATATCATTTTCGAATTGAAAATACAAGCCTCCAGCCCTGACACCATGACCAGTGGCAACGTACTAGATGGCCCAGCAGAAGGGACAGCAGAGCAGGTTTCTGCTGTTCCAGACATCGACCCTTGTGAGGATGCAGGATTCACAGTCAAGATCCAGGCTCCTGGAACAGAACCAAGAGACTTCCAGGTAAAACCCAGGCTTGTCCCTCAGAAAAGCTTTCCACTCTTGAGCTACTGTTAGTTAACTCTTGGAAGCAGAGTAGTAATTAACACTTCCAACCAATTTTGCTCCATATAGTTTTACACTCATATGCTTCCATATCTGTGTCTGTATGTCTATATTGTGTTCAAGGTGTCACCTTTAGCTACGGTGCAGGAAATTAAGCAAGTATTGATGGACCAAGAGGAGACCAGTCGGCGCACATGCTTTTCCCTGCAGCTGAATGGAGTCACTCTCGACAACTTTACCCATCTTAGATCCATACCAGATCTTCAGGAGGGCTCCGTTCTGAGTGTTGTTGAGGGTAAGACACTAAAACCTACCCAACCTCAAATCTGAGGGATTTATTTTATTGCCCCAGGAGTTCATAGTTTTGTTAGTCTACCCCAAAATGATAATTTCCTCCTAATTTAGTTACTGAAGTGGTTCTTGAGCCTAGTTTATACTTCTGCGTCAAGTGACCGGCGTGACCTACGGAGCATGCAACGCGCGTAGCTGTGCATTTATACTTCTGCGTGCTGTCTCTGTTGGTCTGAATTAACACATCCCAAACGCTAGTTGGCAGTGAGGTGTTAATGTTTCTCTGTGTCGAGTTTCTTCTCTGCTGTTTGCAATAATTTTTAATTGACATTAGACCATTTTGGAAACATTTTGGTCAAATCTGTGATTAAAACCATCCTACTGAAAATTGAATTTGCATGATTGAATTAAAAACTCTCCTTCGATTTATTGAGCATCAGAAAGCTTAAAGGGGTGGTCCTGTAACGAAGGGTCTGACACAGAGGGATCCATTTGCAGTATATTTATTAAACAGAGTTTAATAACAATAAGCACACAGATGTTAAGCGTGTGCGAACTCACATCAAACACAGTTGTAATTAGTCAAAGGGCTGGCGGCAGGCAAACAGAAGGTGAGTATTCAGGCATGGGTCAAAGGCAGGCGGCGAGGATCAAAGTCGATGTACAGGCTAGAGTTCAGGGCAGGCGGCAGGCAATACAAGGTTGAGATACAGTCCGGGGTTACCAACGGGAAAGCAGGCAAGGATCAGAAACGCTCAGTAGTGTTAGCCAGGGCAGAACAAGACTTCGCACTGAAGCAGCGTGTGTGTGTGTGTGTGTGTGTGTGTGCTGCTTATATGTGTGAGCATTGGGAAATGTGCTGCAGGTGTATGTGCCAATCAGTCAGTGGGAATGACGTAATGTCAAAAGTCCGGTGATGATGACCTCTGCTGGCCAGCGAGGGGAATGACTGGGACAGGTCCACTATGATGTTATATTTTAAACTTTAGTTGATCTGCAATGTAGCTGTGTGAACATAAACAACATCGTAATATGCTCAAAGGTCAATGCAAAGGGAGACATTGGCTTTTACAGAGTTAGCTTAGCAAAACCTACAGCTTTAGCTTCAAACCGATATATATCAGTCAAACCGCTGTAAACACCCTCAATCTTCACCAGCGCTGCAGTGTCTCTCTGTGCGGCCGCTTTCCCTACATTATACATCTCAAATAACAAACTTGCAAAAGATATGGCACATGCTATAAAATAACACATGCTTATCTTGAATATATGTTTAAGACACTTGTCAGATTTTATCTTAGAGAGCAAGCGTGAGGTTCCTTTTCGTTTTCTGTCTGATTAAGGCACAATCTGATAACGTCTAACAGCTACTGTTTACACAGAGCAAAAGCGCGTGCCTGTAGGGGCGTGATGTGGAGCCGATCCACGAATCACTGCACATTATGTTAGCTGACCAAGCAGAGCCTTTTGAGAGCGGGCTTTTGGAGCAACTTTCGTTTTCATGTTAGCTGAGAAGCTTTTTATAGTCAAAGATATACGGTATGAAAAAATAAAGCGATTTTCTACAAATGAAGCATGGGCACACATTGCTTTGCATCTTATAAATACAACCAAGCCTTAAAAACTATCTGTGGACCACCCCTTTAGTTACTATAAATGCATATACAGCTGTTAAAAATAACTGTGTTAGTCTTAAACAGTCTTAAAATGTCCTATACTTAGAAACTATATTTATAACTAATTTTATAACAGTCTTTTGTTCATAAATTTAGTTTTTAAAGAGTCTTTTTTTAAATGATGTTGAAAAATATTTATGAATACAACTAGGGTCTGCTTGTTTTGACACATTATTCAAAATTTGTGGCTAAGAAATAGCTAATTAGAATTATTTTTTTGATGGGGCAAGTACATTTTTATTTTGCTAGGCCATTAAAATAATCCTTAGCATTTAGCTCTAAATAAGTCTGAAATGTCATTCTTCACTGTCTTAAAAAAGTCTTTAAAAAGTTGACTCTGTGAAACCTCCAGAAAACCTGTTTTCATTGCTGTTCACTCTGTATCTTCAGTAAATCCTGCCAGCAAGTTTTTTACCAGTAGCTTTTGCTGATGCAAGCTTTCAGTATATCTGATATAAATCACAAGAAGACCTTACGCTATATATCAGTAATAAACAGACTGAGCCATAAACTGACTGACTAACTGATTTCTGTTCTCTCTCTCCTTTGAAAACGACCAAGAGCCGTACAGCGTTCGAGAAGTGCGTATGCATTTGAGCCACATCAGAGAGCTTTTAAAGAGCCTGGACCTCACAGATGGCTATAACGGGGTGGAGGGCAGCTCACCGTCCTTTCTCAGCTGCGTCACAGAGGAAATTATGGAGGGTAAGATACGAAACTCACAGAAGTTTGGTTAAAATAAAATATACAGTAGATTGGGAGAAGTAAATGGAGCAAGATAATTGTTTTAAATCATACATTTGTTAAAACTTTCTATTTTGGCGCCCAACCCATTTTATTAGCCAAATACAAGTCATTTGTTGTATTTTCCTTTCATGTGAAGAAATTATAAGTAAAGATCTTTGGAAGATTTAGGAAATTCTAGGGATGTAACAATATTGTAAATACTGTCATATCGCAATAGTAATTTTTGTTCAATATTATCGTAGGCGCATGACTCAATAAAACTATATTTTTGAGAAAAGTTTGCTTAGGCGAATGAAGCGAACGGAAGGTAGAGGGAACTACAATTCCCATCAGCCTAGGTGTGGCCATCATCCTTTGCGGTCTGTTGTCACTACAGATCCAGTAATGCAGAAATGGAGTGTGTTGCTAGTAGAAGGAAGAAAAAGAGCTGAAAATGATCGAACCTAAAGCGGGTTTTAAGTCGGACGTGTGGAAGCATTTCGGTTTCTTTCTAAAAAGATATGAAAAAGGAGAAAAGGTGACAGACAAAGAAAAAAACAGTATGCAGGCACTGCCAGACTGTGGTGAAATATAAGTCGGGGAATACGACTAAAAACAGTCATGGGGACTGCAGAACACAGCACACTTGTTAGTTTGATGCAGACATTGACTTGTACCGCAAAGAGATCTCTATCTCACTCATGGCTTGTCCTCTCAAGTGGTGGAAAGACAATGCACAACGTTACCCACTGCTGTCAACCTTGGCTAAATCAGATCTCTCTGTCCCAGAAACCTCAGTCCCAAATGAGAGGGCTTTTTTTCTGTTGCAGGGGACATTGTAAATGCCCAAAGGTCCCAGCTTTTACCAGATTATAGTTATATGATCATTTTCCTTAAAAAACCCATCTCTATCTACTGTAAGTGGGTGAGTGATTAAATGTTAAATGTGATGAGTTTTCAACAATACTAAATTGAAACTTTGTTTTACATGGTTTAATAGTTTTTTGTTATTAAAATAAAAAAAATTAAGTTCCTGTTTTGAAATTTATAGATAGATGGCTAATTTGTATGTCATTGATATGTTTAGTGCTAAGGTAAATAAACACTTTTGGCACTTTTTTTGAGTCTTTTCATTAGTTTTGTTTTTCCTGTAAATTATTCAATACATACCGTACCGTGCCAGTCATACCGAGGTATTATCGTACCGTGAAATTCTGATACCGTTACATCCCTAGGAAACTGTAAATATATCAAAACCTTTTTATTGGTAATAAGTATTTGCAAAGAACTTGGACAATATTTCGATTTTTTTTTTTTTTTGACCTCAGATTCTACATTCATATAGTTGTATATTAGCCAAATATTGTCCTTTCCTAACAAACTATACATCTATGGAAAGCTTACTTATTTAACTATCAGATGATGTATAAAACCCAATTTCCAAACATTTGCAGTTATGATGGTTTTGATGTTTGATGTCAAAATCTATGATGAAAACACATCCATATTGTAAATCTCTACAGTGAAGATCAAAATTAGATTTCAACCCATAATTTCTGAATTTTTTCACTTAAGTTTACCCTGAATGCCTGCGTGTGACTTCCTCTGTTTGAAACAAAGCACAGGAGCATCCGAGAAATACATCAGCAGCGCAAATGTGTGTCCTACACTGACATTGAGAAGCACACATACTGAGACTAAGACGGATAAAGTCAGTATTGTTTGTTTTATGTGAGCACAAAAGTATTTTTGTAGCTTAATAATATTCATTCATTCATTTTCTTTTCGGCTTAGTCTCTTTATTAATCTGGGGTGGCCACAGCAGAATTAGCCGCCAACTTATCCAGCATATGTTTTATGCAGCGGATGCCCTTCCAGCTGCAACCCATCACTGGAAAACCCAGACACACTCATTCGTACACCTACACTATGGACAGTTTAGCCTACCCAATTTACCTGTACCGCATGTCTTTGGACTCTGAGGGTAACCAAAGCACCCAGAGGAAACCCACGCTAACGCAGGGAGAACATGCAAACTTTACAAAGAAACGCCATCTGACCCAGCCAAGGCTCGAACTAGTAACCTTCTTGCTGTGAGGCGACAACACTACCTACTGCGCCACCAAGCTTGATTATATTCCAATTGAATCACTGAAGCAATATGGTCTGTTTTGATGATGTTTTTGGTGTTTTACTGGAGGAGTCAGGACCATTGCTGTCTATAGAGTGCGAGAGAGCTTCCAGATTTCATCTAAAATAACTTAATATGTGTTCCAAAGGTGAATGAAGGTCCCAAAAATTTGGAAGACACGAATGTAATTAATAACGTAACTTTAATTTTTGGGTGATTCCCAGAGAGCAGCAAACCTAAGCGAAGAGGTGACGGGATGAAGCAGATCAACTGCTGTCCTCCAGATCACCTTCTGCCAGGCTGTAAGGAACGTCTGCTGGTGCCCCTTCAACCTCATTCCGCTTTTGGCAAGGTAAGAAATTGAGGAACTGTGACAGAAACATGTCAGACTGCTATCATTTATGATTGTATGTCTGGTTATGTAACGAAGGGTCTGACACAGAGGGATCCATTTGCCGTATATTTATTAAACAGAGTTTAATAACAAACAGCACACAGATGTTAAGCGTGTGAACTCACATTAAACACAGTTGTAGTTAGTCGAAGGGCTGGCGGCTGGCAAACACAGGGTGAGTAATCAGGCATGGGCAGGCCCGGCGCTACGGGGGGGCAAAGGAGGGCATTGCCCCCTCAGAAAGAGTTTGTGCCCCCCCCCAGTTTTTAGAAAGGATTGTTCACTCCAACTGAAAATTCTTTCTGTCATTAATTATTAACACCCCCGTCGTTCCAACATTAAGAATACACATTTAAATATAATATGTATTAATATATTTAAAATATATGACATAGCAATTGAATTATGAAAATGGTGAGATTAAAGCTAGTCATATAGTCCAGAGATCCGGTCCCCGCGTCAGGTCAGGTGTGCCCGTAAATAGCCTTTAAAACGCACACACGGCGATGGAGGCGCACTCAACTCACAAGGGAGAAAAGTGTGACATGATAGGAGCAGCTTAATTCATTACATGTTTTGGTTAACTAATTATTTAAACACAACTCTCTTGAGCGCTAAAAGGAAAAAACACATAAGAAATTTGCTGTTAAATTAATTTTTGCAGAGATGCAACTGCCAGTCATTTATTAGTAATTCGGGAAGATGTAGCCTAATAAAAATGTTTTAATAAAAACAAATAGTTTACTGCACAGTCCCACAGTAGGCTACACTATAAATAATATTTTAATTTATTTATTAATATTATTATTAATATTATTACAATTAAGCTAAAATTGACAAAACGCAGAACCCTTTGAATGTTTGCTGTCATTTTGCTTAAAAGCGCACTTTTACAGTTGTGTAGAGAAACTTTTAAGTGGATGATGTAATGTCTAGAAGTCTGGTGATGATGACCTCTGCTGGCCAGAAAGGGGAATGACTAAGACCGAGTCGGTGACAGGTTAAAGAAATAATGATTAGCTCCTGTGATAATTTATCCGTTTTAAATATTTCCCAATTGATGTTTAACAGAGCAAAAAAAATTTCACAGTATTTCCTATATTTTTCTTCTGGAGAAAGTCTTATTTGATTTATTTCCGCTAGAATAAAAGCATTTTTTAAAATATTTTAAACAATTTTAAGGTCAGTATTATTAAGCTATATTTTTTGATTGTCTACAGAACAAAAGTCTTTCAGTTAAATAGAAATAGGGAAAAAATATATAGAGGGGGATAATAATTCAGGAGGGCTAATAAATCTGACTTCAACTGTACTTGTTCATGTTTTAAACAGTCGTCAGAGTGCTTGAAGGTTTTGGCCTCGAGTAGCTGGAATCCTCCGCCTGGAAACAGAAAGATGCACGGAGACCTGATGTATCTGAACGTGGTCACTATGGAGGACAGACACTTCAGTATAACAGCATCCACCCGTGGCTTCTTCATCAATCAGTGAGTTATGAATAGGCCCACACGGAATCTGCGCGCGCAGAATTTTGCAGATTTTCCGCAGAATTCCGCAGATTTTTAGCCCATTATTAGTTCTGTTTATTTACTTGAGTAAAATGTGTAAATCTCAATTTATTCAGTTTTTATTCAGTAATTTATAACTTTTTATTTAATATATTAAGGTTTAAGTTATGATACTTGCTGGATACTCCTAAAATAATTCCGCAGAAATCCGCAGATTTTTACCAAAAACGACGGCAGATTCCGTCTGGCCCTGGTTATGAAGTACAGTTGTCCTCCTTGTTGAACTCGAATGTATAGAAATGTATTTTTAAAAGCGTTTTAGATTATTTAAACGGCACTATTTAAACTTATAATATTAAGAATGGTCCGGAGCTCTGCTGATAAGTGCCTTCTTCTCACAATTTAAACCTGACTCACACAGATCTACAACATACAGCTTTAATCCAAAACCAGCCGATCCAAGTTTCCTCAGTCACGCTCTGCTGGATCTCCTGACTCAGATCAGCCCAGTCTTCAAGAAGAATTTCAGTGCCTTGCTGAAAAAGAGGTACTTCAGTACAAAGTTAAATCAATGCAAAGAAATTGTGGTTAAGTATGAGTTTTTCAACAAGACTTTATGATTTTAAAATGGGTGGATGTAAGTTACTGAACTGATTAAAAATAACTGGAGGTTTAAAATTATAATACTACATTATTAGTTGCATGTTTTTCATTCTTCATGTTCACACTTCCCTGAGATGGGTTGCAGCTGGAAGGGCATCTGCTGCGTAAAAATGTGCTAGATAAGTTGGCGGTTCATTCCGCAGTGGCGACCCCGGATTAATAAAGGGACTAAGCCGAAAAGAAAATGAATGAATGAATGAATGTTCCAACTTACAGTAATAATAATTTTTAAAAAATCGAAGTAACTGTTTGTTTGTTTAAAAGTAATACATGTTTTGTTGAGCCGCAAGTCATATACATTGTACAGTACTTTCTGTTTTCCTAATGTAGTAGATGCTAATTTTAAAACACATTTTTTGATATCAAATATTTCACACATTGTGTAATGCGATAATGAGTTGGAAAATAGTACTATATCTCTTCATTGTGTTTAAATCTATTGCGTGGCCAGTGAAACTGCAATGATCTCTTAACAGTCTTATATTTTAAAAAGGTGATATATGAAGAGGTTTTTTGTTCAATAAATGTTTTTTTTTTTTTTGCAATTGAAATAAAGGGCACCTAGGTTACCCCTTTTTCCAGATCTAAGATAATGCTTTTGTGTCCCCAGAATTTGTCTGTAAAGTTTCAGCTCAAAACACCCATCAGAGTATTTATTATAGCTGTCTGAAGTTTCTGTATTATAGCTGATAAAACACAAGCGGCAACCTCCCGCTCTCCCTCAGGAAGCCAATACGTAAGTAACTAAAACTGCAATTCATCCGAAATTCTGCTAGTCCCGGCCGCTCCTGGCTTCAAAATAGAGCAAATTTCAATTGAGCCCACTGTTAGAATGGCCAACTTTACAGCAGAAAAAAGGTGTTTACAGCCTGGTACAAAAAACGATTTTGGTTAATACAGCTAATATTACCCTTCATGACGGCTGTGAGGGGGGTGCATTTTTTTATAACTCATCCGTTTCCTTTATATTAAGTTATATTAAGTTTGCATAATTAAGGGCGTGGCCACTTGAGTGACAGCTAGGTCTCGTTGGTCACCGTCACGTCACCTCAGCTGAATCCGGCAGATTAGCCACTGAACTCGGCATATTTATCGTATTTCTGTGTTGTTTTATGAGGCTTTACACTGTCAGCTGGCTTTTGGATTTGTTTCCTACAATTATTAGATGGCATGGCATGCTGAGTGCACTTAATTGTGCTCACAAACCATTCACGTGGCCTCCGTTTCCCATGTGAGTAAAGTTATATACTTATATACCATCTCTATACATGTATTTGTTTTATTTAAGATCATTTATCATTTATATTTATATTTAGAGCTGTAATGCACTTCTGAATCTGACGGATTGATTAGCTGTAGGCTCTAGAACAGATATCTGAAGCGTTGTCATACAGTGTTATGCTGGATTTCATCAATAGTCTTACATTAACTAACACAGACTATATCAGAAGTGTTTGGAAGTAATTCGCGTTTTCCTCTTGTTGAAAAACGTCATAAGAACAATGTTTAGTGGCTCAATGTACTACAGCAGTGTTTTTAAAAGTCTAAACACTTTATTGATATAGTATACAACCAAGCACAAGTGGTCAGAATACAAACGAGTCACAGGTGATAAAGTATTAAGCGTTCTCCCAAAGTAAAGTGTGTCTGAACCAGGTCCAAGCAAAATGCCAGCAGGTGTCTGTACCTCCGCTCACTCTCCGCCTCTTTGCCCTTGTTTGGTATCTCGCCGTGGGTGTGATGACGCGCGAAGAAAATGGCGACGGTTGGCCGCGCCTACTTGTGGCTTCTTTTGCGCTCTTTAGAAACCTATGGGTGACGTCACGGATACTACGTCCATATATTTTACAGTCTATGGTAAAACCTGGTTGCTGTTTTTTTTGTACTGGGCCTTTAAGGCTAGTCCTCCCCGCCCGCCCACCGTTCCCTCGTGGCTGTCGGCAACATGCCTCAACCACCGCTCTCGGCTGCTTCACGAAGCAGATCTCACTTAGCTAAACTAAGCTGTGATTGATTCATGGATTCATTCATTGATGGATTGAGTGATTGGGCATTTATGTTTTATATTAAAATGTAATGTAGAATCTGCAGTAAGTTGTGTGTGTGTTCTCTTTAGAGGGTCTACTCACCCCTTCGAAAGGATTGCGACACCGTTCCAGGTGTTCAGCTGGACCGCTCCAGCTCTGGATCATACACTGGACTGTGTCCGAGCAGAGGATGTCAGCTCTTTCCGCCTGGGTTACGAAGAACACCTGCCTGTTCAGGTAAACATGTTGAATGTCTGAACAGCAGCCAGTTACACAAGCAGGACTTTACTTATTTCTCTGTGTTAAACAAAGGCCCGGGACTGGAACGAAGAACTTCAGACCACAAGGGAGCTTCCAAGAAAAAACGTAACAGACCGCCTGATAAGGGATCGAGCCATTTTCAAGGTATCCTTAAACTCTTGACATGTTTAATTTACAAAAAAAAAGTATTTCTACAGATAAATAAGTAATGTGTGTGGCACTTTGGATAAAAGCATCTGCTAATTGTGAAAACCTAAAAATACATCTCAAAATGTTTAAGCAAAGTTTGTTTGGTACTCATTTGAGAAGTTTAAAATGAACAAAATAAGCTTTCCAATTCATACCATGGCCGAACCCATGGGAAGACCGAAGGTGCATAGCATTACAGGCCCTGCACTGTTCTCATGGCTCTCTCCTTTATGACATTCATTTTAATATCCTAATAATTTATTCAGTCATTTCAATCAAAAGTTCTGATTTATTTAAAAAAATAAAAATACACCTCAAATTTACCCACACAGTGTTGAGTCTTGTTCCCCTATAACATCTCTAGCGTTTTCCTTGCCTTGTCCTTCTGTCATTTGTTATTTTTTTAAGATTTATTTTTGGCCATTTTGCCAAAGTTTTTGGACACTATTTAGACAGGAAGCGAAGTTGGAGAGAGGGGGGGGGGGGGTAGGGAAATGTCCTCGAGCCGGGATTCGATCTCAGGACACCCTGACGTGCTACTGCACTATATGTCGACGCGCTAACCACTAGGCTATTGCGACCAGTCACTTCCTGACTACGCTGTAGGATTACCCTCATGTTACTGTTTGCTTCCGTTTAACCGTTGCCTGCCTAAGTTATTAATAAACTGTGTTTGGACTAGGGATGCTCAAAATAATCGATTAACCGTTAACCGAAAAGGTGCGTTTGTAACCGATTAATGCTATCAGTTAAACAATTAAAATTATTATTTTATATATTTTTAGTTTGGCTGCATAAGAGGCTGATTGAATGCGCCTTTGCGTTAAGAGGGGCATCTTTTGCACGCGGCTCATCCCAGAGCAGCAGTTAGTGTTGTCAAGACAACTACAGAGAACTTTCAAAGAGCTTGGTTTCCGCTACGTTCATTCTTCCATGGCGTGGACCAAAATGCATCCATCCATGGCTACATTACCCTTTCAAAACATTCAGTTATTGTTGTTGTTTTTATTAGCGGATTATAATCGCATCAAAACATATTAAAAGGTAAGTGGATTATAACAGCGCAAACTTTTCTGTAACCGTATAGTGCTGTGCGCTGTATGTTTAATCCTTTGGGGTTACGTGCTGACTGACTGACTGGTGCGCGATGCGTGAGGCCAGCAAACATGCAGAAGCTTTCAGTTAAGATGAACACAGTTTCTATAGTTATACTTTAGTTATAGATAAAGTATGACTCTGTATATAATCACTCTATCTTGCTGGAGTTTATAGCCGTTTCGCTTTACTTCAGGACGCATTAACACCGCTCTGAAGGTCTAATCGCTGTTTTAAGTTATCCAGAGCTGGATGAATGTACAAATCCTGAATATCACGATATTATTAAATATTACAATTGTAACAACATAGACAGCAACACTTTTGCACAATCGATACCCAGCTGATTCAGTCGTTTCATAAGAGGACCGGGCTTTCTTCTTTTTTCCTTGTCAACATAAAGGCAGTAAGGTGTGCCTCACGTTTTTGGAATGAAAAAAGCACGTTAGCTGTGGTCGGCCACTTGTTTTACTGCAAGACATGCTTAACTTGCGGGACGATAGCGTATAACCCGTGCCTGCAGACACATTTGCCAAAGAAGCAAAATGGAAGAAGAATAATGCTGTTTAACAGACGTGTTGATGCCAAAAAAAGCGCTGATGTTGACCTGGATCAGCATAATAAACTCAACAAATAGGCTTTACCTTTTATTTTACAGCTTATAAAGCATGCATGCACATTAATGCAATATCATATTTAAACAACAAAACTGTTTACAAAAAGTCAACATAGGCTATATACGCGCGCGTTGTTGTTGTCTTTTCATCACGCAGCGCGCGCACTTGAACCGCGAGGGAGAGAAACGAAACCACATAGCAAGACATAATCTTTAAAATAATGATTTCTATTAAAAATGTAAAAAGATTTTGTGATTATAATAATAACAGCGGGGCATTAAATAAAGGCATATTTTCAGTGGAGCGAGCGATTTGAAGAAGTCAGCTATTTTTTTAATTAAAAATAATTAGTCAGTGTTTTCGATTTATAATATAAATTAATTATTTAAGTGAAAAATAATTTAGGGCAGTCCTATTTATTTTATTCATTTTATTTAGTTTATTCTGTTCTTCTGTGCTAAACAATGCAGGTGCGTGAAAATGCTCTGTTGTAATGTTCTATTAATATGCTAGCATATAAAAATAAATCAGTATTTTAAAATGCAATATTTAATGTTTCAGACACAAAATAGACACGTCAATTTGTTTAATATCAAATTAATAGTAATCTGACCAGTTAACTGTTAATAACCGATCAATGAGCGGCGGTTGTCGGTTAGCAAAATTAACCGAAATTAACATCCCTAATTTGGACTCTAAGCCCCATTGTACCTCGACTCGCGTTATAAATGTCTTGTATCTATAAAAACCCAAACAGTGATATTTTGGCTTTAAAATCTTTATATGTAAACATTTGTATTATTGCAATTATTACAAATATTAAATATAAATAATATTCACATTATTAAAACATAATAATGATATTATTACAGACAGTAAATATTTCACAGACAAGCTTCAAACCTTTGAGTTGTGAAAAGCCTAAATTTTAACATCAAGACCATTTAGATTAAATGAGAAACTTGTATCTAAAAACTAGACGAGTAACAATCCCCTTTCACCACCTTCCTCAGGTTAACAGTGATTTTGTGAGCGCGGCCACTCGAGGAGCGATGGCAGTGGTGGACGGAAACGTGATGCCCATCAACCCCAGTGAAGAACCACGACAGCAGATGTTCGTCTGGAACAACATTTTCTTCAGTCTGGGCTTCGATGTGCGGGACCAGTACAGAGAGTTGGGAGGAGACTCTGCAGCCCATGCAGCTCCTGTCCTTGACCTGAACGGTGTGAAGGCGTATTGGGTCATGGATCAGGAAGATCTCTATCTGATCGGTACTGCAGTAATTGATTACCGAGGGTATCGCGTTACTGCCAAAACTATCATGCCAGGAATCCTGGAGCGGGACCAAGAACAAAGTGTCGTCTACGGCTCCACTGACTTCGGCAAGACCGTCGTTTCTGATGACAGGTAACGTCCCGTTTAGACTACACAATTTTATTTTTGCTTATGACAGTCACTCTGTAAAATTATGGGATTTTGTCTTGAAATAATCCTGAGATGGTGCCATATACTGTTTGCCAGACAGACATGTTGCTTCCCAGTCAATCACTGCATGAAATCTACAATGCAAAGAAGTTTACACCAGATATGTTTCAAGAGTTCACACTTAGCTGATGATTTATAAAAGCTTGTTTGGCATGCTGTCCCAGGAGAGAGCCCCGAGCTCAAAGACTCCTCGAGTCCGGGGCTTCCTCCCGTTTGGCAGAGCGAGAGGGGAGCCTGAGCTCGGTGGATCTCAGAACTCCCCCGCTGCGGTAGCTAAGGGAACACGAGGGTTAGACAAATGCTTGGTTGTAATGTATGTTGAATGTCTTTGGATGGTGGGAGGAAACCGGAGCACCCGGGGAAAACCCACGCGGACACGAGGAAGAACATACAAACTCCTCACAGAAACACCCACCGGTCCTGTTCTTGCTGTGGGGCTCGCAGTCCTAACCACTGGGGCGCGGTGTCGCCCAGTCAGAGGTAAAGGAGGAGAAAAAGGGGAGTAGGGGGGTTTCTTCCAATGATTGAATGATTGGAAGATACTGATTAGCAAATTCGAGACCGGCCGTGATAAATCATAAGCATGTGATCCTCTCCAAATTAGTTTATGAATAAACTTCACTTCTGCTCTGTCATGGTAGTCTCTCTGTGACACATCATTCAGACAAGCATACTATTGCCATAACTATACAAGGCTTTCTTTAGTTTCATGTCCAGCGTAGAGCACAGTCTTCTCTCTTTTGTTTTGCCATTTTAAAAGCTGCGTATAGAAGAGATTCTGTACTCCCACTGGTTAATGACACTTATTTAACAGAACCCATCATGGACGAAGGGGAAAAACTAAACATGCTAGACTGTTTGTGTTGACGTTGCTTCGGCTGTCAAGCACTTTGATACGCTACATGACAAAAACTCGAAATCTTTCGTGCTGATTCCCATTTGCTATCTACAAATGGGCGACACAGTGGCGCAGTAGGTAGTGCTCTCACCTCACAGCAAGAAGGTCGCTGGTTCGAGCCTCGGCTGGGTCAGTTGGCATTTCTGTGTGGAGTTTGCATGTTCTTCCTGCATTCGTGTGGGTTTCCTCCGGGTGCTCCGGTTTCCCCCACAGTCCAAAGACATGCAGTAGGCTAAATTGGGTAGGCTGAATTTTCCGTAGTGTATGAGTGTGAATAAGTGTGTGTGGATGTTTCCCAGAGATGGGTTGTGGCTGGAAGGGCATCCGCTGCATAAAAACGTGCTGGATAAGCTACTGATTCAATCCGCTGTGGCGACCCCAGATTAACAAAGGGACTAAAATGAAAAGAAAATGAGTGAATGAATATCTACAAATGCCCACGACACCCTATATCAAGCATATTTATTTAATGGAATGTGGACAGGTAACATTTATACCGATAACAAGTTCAAACAGATTAATACAGGTTAAAACAGCCATTAATACAGGTAACAGAGGAGGACTGAGAAGCCTCTTAAAGAAGAAGGTACAGGTCTGTGAGAGACAGAAGTCTTGCTTGTTTGTAGGCGATCAAATACTTTTGCAGAAGAATTTACCAATTAATTAATTAAAAATCCTACAATGCCATTTTTTTTTGGATTTTGTTTCTCATTTTGTCTCTCATAGTTAAGGTATAGCTATAATGAATATTACAGGCCTCTCTCATCTTTTTAAGTGGGAGAACTTGCACAATAAGGTGGCTGCCTAAATACTTTTTTGCCCCACTGTGTATACATACACACTTTTTTTGAAGACATGTTAATATTCCTCCTGCCTGTAAAATCTTTGATCTATGATAATTGCAACAAGTGATTGATATAATTGCAAACATAGCCTTTGAAAAAATGAAGACAATAATGACTCTGTATAGTAAATGCTCCTGGAATTATATCATATATATTTCTGTCTGTGTGCAGGTATCTGGAGCTGCTTGACAAACCCAGTAAGAAGCTGAGGGTGCAACGTCACCGCGTCCTGAACAAGGACGACACTACAGTAGAGTTATGCTCCTCGGTGGAGCACAAGGGCATTGTGGGTAATGATGGTCGGCACTACATCCTGGATCTACTTTTCACTTTCCCACCCGACCTTAACTTCCTGCATGTTGAAGGAGAGCATTTAAATCCTGTGTGTCAGCAACTGGGCTTCCCAAGGCTTCATCCTCATCGGCTGGTTTGTCTGAGACAGGAGCTCCTTGACGCCTTTGTGGAGCACAGGTAAATATATTCACTTGTGCTGTGATTAATATACAGATGAATCATTTAAAATCAAATGAAGCACATATATATATATATATATATATATATATATATATATATATATATATATATATATATATATATATATATATATATAATTTTTGTCAGTCATCTGACAAAATCCACATCTCTCATTGGCCAGATGTTGTTGAACATATATCCTAAACTGCCTATTGATTGGTCAGAATTCGCGTGCGGGAAAATGCCAATGAACTCCCGCAGGTAAACAAAATCGGCAGACGCAAAATGTTGCTTTTTACTATGGAGGGACGACTGCGCTGCTGATTGTATCCCTGCTTTAGACAAACTATACATTCCGGGAATGAAGCGCGGCTGGAAAACAGTGTTTTAATGCATCACTCGTCACTTCAGGAGGAGGCCTGAATTAATTTAGCTGAATTGCGACATGGTCATCTTGCGGAAATATTACCAACGATCCATCAGGTAATGTTTTCCGCTCCTCTCTCTCTGTTGGTAAAGCGCTGTCAACAAATATTTTTCCTCCATATCCCATAATGCACAGCCCATCGTCCTACGGCAGCTGAATTAGTCCAAAAGGCGCAGTACTTTTTGCGGTTGGACCTGTTTTAGTACGGATCATATTCTCACCACAAGCGAACCGCTCCAGGGTTCGTTGAAAGCGTACCGAGACCAACTCTTCAAGCAGGTCTCGGTACGCTTATTTGGTTGCTTTAGGTGCGCACTCAAGTACAATTGCTGCATTCTTACCTGCCCAAACGAACCATACCAAAAGGGAAAACGAACTCTAGTGCGATTCAATCGAACTAAATAAGGCAAGTGTGAAAGCACCCTATAACAGATGCCCGAGCCACCTCAGGTGATTCTATCGATGTGGAGGAGCAGCGGCTCTACTCCGAGCTCCTCCCGAGTGACAGAGCTTCTCACCCTATCCATAAGGGTGCGCCCTTGTCACCCTGTGAAGGAAACTCATTTTGGCCATGAGTAGAGTAGGAACATAGATTGACCGGTATATCGAGAGCTTTGCCTTTTAGCCCAGCTCCTTCTTCTGACATTTATTTATTAATTTAAAATAAATTATGTTTAATTAATTTAATAAAAATATATTTACATAGAAATCAGTTATTATTATAAATGTAAACCATCATAATGTTTTGGTTGCGTTTTTGATCAAATAAATGAAATGCTAGCCTTAGTAAACCTAATCTCTGGTAAAACTTTCTTTTATCACAGCGATCTAATGAGACACAACATACAGTGTGACCAAGACTCTTGTTATGTGACTCCAGATACCAGATGTTTATGAAGACCGTCTCCCAAAGTTCTGATGATGACAGAAGAATTTCCCAATCTGATGGCACATCTGTGATCAAGAGCGACCTATCCACTGCACCACAGCTTCCCTTAAATACTGTCAGAATCCCAGAGCAGAAGCCAAAGCAGCCGCACCAAATTACCAACATCCAGCAGAGCTCTTCAATAAAGCAAATCTTCTCCTCCCTCAGGAATACTTTTGACCTCCAATTCAACCCCAACGTCTTCTGTCCAGGTGTGTTGTTAAGAGATTTCTCAATTCTTATTATAAATATGTACATGGTTAAAGGGCCATGAAACCCCCTCGTTTCAGCAGGGTGTTTTCACACCTCTACTTTGGAAAAAGTCAGAAAAGTGGGCGTGTCCAGCTCTGTTTAGGGGGGAGTGTTGGAGAAAGAAAAGAGGCATGGTGTGGGAGTGTCTATTTGGGCGCGCTGACTTTCAGAGTCAAAACACACACACACACACACACACACACACACACAAACAAAGGGGAGAAAGTGATGGTGTTTACATGGACATCTGTAGTCGAATTATTTGCCAAATTATTAAATGGTGGACTTTAACTGCAGTTTGGCTCTTTCATTTACAAACGAGATATTTTATTCGAGGAACTGCTCTAGGCGTGTATTTTTCATGCAATGTTTAATACGGCACGGCAAATGAGAGAGAAAAAAACTCAGCATTTCCCGGAACCTTATATGCACACGGAAGGTAGCGTCAGAAAGCCGCGTGTGTTATTCCGGTCACAAAATGTGGTGAAAATCCTACACGAAGTTAAAGTTTGGTTGTGGTGCTAACATGTTTACACTCGATGCAATAGTTTGTTTGATACGAACAAACTGAATACACAAAGAGCACTGGTCGCTCACTAACCAAATCTGTAGAGTCAGGACAATCACCAGCAACTAGAGCCGCCTCTTTATTAAGAGGAGACTACAAGCAAATCCAGATCTCAGCGTTTGCAGATGAGAACAGCTTTCAGGTAAACAATGTTCCTCCTTAGACACGTAAGTTATTGTTGTCAAGCGTCGCGTACACTGTTAATCCACACATGACTCCAGCTGCGCTCTCACAGAGAGAAAATGAAAACAAAACTTAACTGCAGCAAACTATAAAAGCAACACTTCACGCTTGTTTTGCCAACACAACATGGCGTCTCTGTCGTCTAAACACTGTGACAGTAATGAATATTAATGAAGTTGCACAATAGATTTGTTTGAACCAAGCCTTACTCATGCATTGATGCATCACACTGTAAGATGTAATAAGACACACTCTGGCACAGACGTCCAGTCTGCACGCTGGATTACACGCTATTATGTCATGACCGTGACGCAGCTTCAAAAATTCGTTTCAAACCGGAAGTACGAATTTGATTGAAATAATGCAAAAACAACCAATTTACACTTTTTAGTGAAATATATGTGTCCTATCAGTGTTTTTAGCAGTGTGGGACACACATACGACTGTCAACAGCTCAAAAAATGTGTTTTGGTGTTTCTTGACCCTTTAAATGTGACCATGGACCACAAAACCAGTATTATGTTCATTTATTCATTTATTCATTTATTTTCCTTCGGCATATTCCCTTTATTTACATGTCCAAAATAGTTTTTTTAATTCACCTATAGAGCATGTGTTTGGACTTGTGGGGGAAACCGGAGCACCCGGAGGAAATTCACACTAACACGGGAAGAACATGCAAACTCCACACAGAAATGCCAACTGGCCCAGCTGGGACTCAACCAGCGACCTTCTTGCTGTGAGGTAGAGATCTGCGCAGGACTAAATTTTGAATCCCGCTCCCGCCAGGTTTTAGTCCGAACCTGACCGCTCCCGCTTTTATTCAGCATTTGTTGTCCCGCTGCCCACCCCGCCCCGCTTTCTAACCGCCGTACCCGTTCCCGCTAATAGGGGTGGTGGGGGGAATCTGAACAAAGCCAAAAACCACCCAGCTATACAGAGTCCAGACAGCCTATAACAAGCTGTCTGTATAAACACACACACATAGACACACAGCCCCAAGCGACACAGACAGCATCACGCTCTCTCTCATTCACACACATACACACACACATAGACAGCACCAAACTCTCTCTCATTCACACGCATACACACACATAGACAGCAACAAACAAGCCAAACACAGCATCACGCTCTCTCATTTACACACATACATACGCGTGCTTGCTCGGGAGTCGGGAGAGATATTGTCAGACCGCCCGTGCTTTATTCAGAAATTTCTTCCCGCTCCGCAAGAAATCCGGTCAGGTCCCACGGCTCCCGCAGTACAGCCACAGGAATGCAGACCACTGCATCAGATTCCAGATTTTCCAAATAGTTGTGTCTTGGCCTAAATTTCATTCATTTATTTTCTTTTCAGCTTAGTCCCTTTATTAATCTGGGGTAGCCACAGCGGAATGAACCGCCAACTTATCCAGCATATGTGTTACGCAGCGAATGCCCTTACAGCTGCAACCCATCACTAGGAAACATCCACACACACTCATTCACACACACACAAACACATACACTACGGACAATTTAGCTTAACCACTTCACCTGTACCGCATGTCTTTGAAATTGTGGGGGAAACCGGAGCACCCGGAGGAAACCCACAAGAACACGAAGATGCAAACTCCACACAGAAATGCCAACTGACCCAACCGGCTTGAACCAGCAACCTTCTTGCTGTGAGGTGATTGTGCTACCCACTGCACCACCTTGCTGCCTGGCCTAAATCTCTAAACAATTATTTATAATAAATTTATAAACACTGGTTTTGTAATCAAGGGTCACAAATAGAAGGATTACGTAAGTGTTTGTTTTTATGAGTCATTATTTTTAATGCATCTGTTTTTTTTTTTTGATTGTGTGTTTGATGCCTAATTTAATAAAGAAATCTAAGGCCTCTGGATTTTAGTTACAAGCCATTTTTAAAGGCTGTTTTCTCAAAAACTTTTTGGTCCTGTACTGAATCATTAATCTAAACTTCAGCAGCGTTTTCATACACCAGCCTTCAGTTTTATTCCTATCTATATTCTGAAGGTCTTTGTAGAGACATGTCTAAAAATGTACAATTTATTCTACAGATAAAATTTTTTTGCCTGTATTTTGTGGTCAAAATAGATTGCCCAAATCCCATCTTTTTTTATTATTTTATTTTAAGCATATATATATATATATATATATATTTACAGTGGAAGTCAGAATTATTAGCCCCCCTGACTTATTAGCGCCCCTGTTTATTTTTTTCCAAAATTTCTGTTTAATGGAGGGAATATTGTTTCAGCACATTTCTACGCATAATAGTTTTAGAAACCCATTTCTAATAACTGATTTATTTTATCGTTGCCATGATGACAGTAAATAATATTTTACTTGATATTTTTCAAGACACTTCTATACAGCTTAAAGTGACATTTAAAGGCTTAACTAGGGTAATAGGATGAACTAGGAAGGTTACGGTAATTAGACAAGTTATTCTATAACTATGGTTGGTTCTGTAGACTATCGAAAAAAATTAGCTTAAAATGGCCAATAATTTTGTCCCAAAATTGGTTTTTAAAAATGTAAAACTGATTTTATTCTAGCCGAAATAAAACAAATAAGACTTCCTCCAGAAGAAAAAATTTTATCAGACATACTGTGAAAATTTCCTTGCTCTGTTAAACATAATTTGGGAAATTTAAAAAAAAGGAAAAAAAATCAAAAGGGGGCTTAACAAACATTGGCTCGTACTTTAGACAAACAAAAGACAATATAAAAGTAAACAACAAAGAAAAGATACAAAATAAACACAAAGAAAAAAAAACACACACATCAAAGTCACAAAACATACAATCAAAACTAGTGAGGGTGTATAGCTTAAACCTCAGAGGGGTCACTGGATTGCTGTGTAAATAAATTAAATAAATTAAGAAATTGACCCCAAATCCCATCTTTAAAACGTTTTCATTCTAATATGTCAGATAAATGAATTAAATAAATAAACCAACCAATTATAAATAAATCAGTAATTCAAATCAATTTTGAAAATGACTAGTGTTAGAAATGTATGCAAATTAACGCATGGTTCATAAAAAATGCCTGATTTGCATATTCTAACAAACTTTGAATTGTGGTCAGTACTTTTCACCTTATTCACCAACAGTGTCTTGTCTTAACAGGTGTACGTTTTCCCAAGGAAAGTACTGAAGAAATCCAGAAACAGAAACAGCAGTTAAAGGATGCAGCGAGTTTCCTCATTTCCTATCAGATCCCTGCATTTGTAAGTATGGGGATTTCAGAAATGTGACAGATGATGATCTCCTGATGCCTGTTGTGCAGAATCACATCTTTGACTGTGTGTGTTTGTAGATGAAGAATTGTCTTGAGCACACATCGATGCCCACAGATGGTGTGACGCTGACAGAGGCTCTGCATCAGCATGGCATCAACATCCGCTATCTGGGCACCGTGCTGGAGTACATTGAGGAGATCCCGCTGAAAGAAAGACTCGATCATGTCTATGTAAGTGTGTGCTTTGTTCAAGCCTGAAGTCACACTGTAAAACCTCATATGTTAAGATTACTGTTAAGAAAAAACATTTGAGTAAACAAACTCATTTACTCTCCAAAGTTAATAGAACTTAATTTGATTTTGTACTGTCATACAGTTTGTGTAAAACAACTGGCACCTGTGGTTAAACCCATTTTATGTAATTAATTGCAGTGTTGGGTTTTGCAGTGCAGCTATACCTGTACACAGTCACACACTACTGTTACGTGCCAGCACGTATTATATTTATTTATGTATTATGTGTCTCATTATGTGTGTATCATTATTTTTCTTTCTATCACCCCAGTTCACTTCCTGGTTTTTGCTTACTGCTGTTCCTAATTGGATGGTTCACCTCCAGTTGGTACAACCTATCCTGACACTGCCTATGCTGCGTTCACACCAGACGCGGAACGGGCGTCAAGCGCGAGTGATTTACATGTTAAGTCAATGCAAACAAGCGAATAGACATCCTGCGGCGCGATACGCGTGAATGGGGTGGCGTGAATGATGCAAATTGGGCGAATAGCGCGGGGCGAATTGAGCGGTTTGCGCGTTTGACGCGCTTAACGAGCGTTTCGCGTGAATCTCTTGAGTTCGAAAATCTGAACTTCACCGTACATTCGTGCCAAGTTAACCAATCAGAAGCTTGCTCTTGTGGGGGCGTGATTGTGACGTAGAAACTGTTGTCGGTGTTCCGAGGGAAATCCTCCAGCCATCACCGACAACAGTTCATCAAACTCGGCTTGGCTCAGTCAGAAGCACCGCTGAAAGCCTCCATCATCCAGGTTAAGTTTCTGGCGGAGTTTATGAGCTCACAGAGCTGGATGCACCTCTGAAAGGATGTAGTGGACTCAGACACGACCCTAAACGTATCATAAAGCACATAAACACAGTTATTTTTTTTCATAAAATCCATGTTAGCCATTTAGCTATGAAGCTAGAGTCTTCGGGCAGACAGAAGCCCTGCCCATCACGCGAATCCGCATCTGTTCTGAAGTGAATTTGACACGCGAATGAAGCAGGGTTTGATGCGCGAATGAAGCGAGTAAACTCAAATGTTTACACGGCTATTTACTCGCGAATAGCGCAATTTATCCGCGCGTTCCGCGTCTGGTGTGAACACAGCATATGCTGATTGGTTCCTGAGTAACAACTTGGTCCCGGTGTGCAAGTGTGCAACCCCACTTCTCTAGATTGCCCAGGGGTTGTAACATTTTTGGGAGCCCCCAAAAATGTTATAATCCCTGGGCAATCTTAGGGAGTAGAGTTGCACACATGACCAAGGGTCAAACGAACACTCAAAGAGAATTGTAGTCAAAGTAACAACCACAAACAAAAATTGCTGTACAAATAAAGTGACTTATTACCGGCGGTGAATAGTGAAGCAGTGAGTGAGCTATTTACAATCAACAACCAAAACATAAATTAGGAAGATGGGTGGCGCTAAAGCAAATAAACAATCAACACCAAACAGTTTTACTAACATCAAATCCCCTGTAGTCAAGTCTAATAAACAAATGTGAAAAATAAGTCTTCAACGTCCAAAGACGTTTTACCTAAACTACACTAACTAGCCACTTAAACCAAAAATACACAGGATGGCGCTCTCCCTCTTCCCTGGTGTATCTCTAGTCAGTTGAACTCCTGTGTGTTGAATTGTATATCACGTGACCTACTTACCTACCAGTCTGTCTAGCAAACCTCTGTAGGGAAACATGAAGAAGGGGAATGAATGATTACACACAGGGAAGAACAGACAGTGACTAAACCAAAATGACAACACGGTGTACATAAAGGTGAAGACAGACAATATATCACAAATAAACTGAACAAAATGCGGATCAAAACACCAAATCAATCAATCAATCAATTAGGGATGGCTGAGGTGAAACTGACGTTTCGACACAGGGTCGAGATCCAGAAGCGCAAGTGTTTTGAAACACTGCACCGAAGCATGATCCGTAACACCAAGGTCGCGTGACTAAAGTGTTTCGAAACACCTGGTCACGTGACTAAAGCGATTCAAAGCATCGATCAGTTCAGAAGCGTTTCGAGATGGTTTTATGTATTTTAATTATGTTACTTTTTATGGTGTAGTCTAGATAGGATACAGTTACCGTTACGCCATCAATTTAGCATCATTTTTGTAACACTGTAAAACAATAATTAATATTTTTACAGTGCTGTGATGGTTGGGTGTAGGGTTTGGGTAGACATTAATGAAATACAATAAATGGGAAATTTAATTAACAATATAAATAATTCTTGTTTACTTCAAACCACAACCTTGTCTGATTTAGCAACAATCCTGTTTTATGACCAAACAAGACATATTTATTCTTAAAGGGTTTATTCGGATGTCAGACCAATGTTGAAACAAAACGATACAAGAACAAAGCATTTCAAACTCATATTAAGCATTTCAAAATAGCTGTACCAGCCTGGATTCAAACCCACTAAATCACTAAATCACTTGAATCAATCAATCAATCAATCAATCAATCAATCAATCAATCAATCAATCAAGCACAGAAACCAATAACAAATTGAGCCAACAAAGACTTACAAACTACTGGCAGACAAAAAATATAGAGTGAGCTAGAGTGGTCTGATTGGTTGAGATCGGGACCAAGTTGTTACTCAGGAACCAATTAGCATAAGGCAGTGTCAGGATTGGTTGTATCAAATGTAGGTGAACCAGCCAATCAGGAACAGCAGTAGGCAAACACAAGGAAGTGAACTGGGAGAGAACAGATATATACATTAGATGTTGCCTGGCATATTGTTGTCTATTGGACGGAATGCGTCAATAGCGCCGCCATCTTGCTACAGGGTAGCGCTCCTTTGAAATGAATGCGGGAACAAGGTACAGTGGAGGGCTGTGGCCATCCAAAGCCAGAAATATACACATATACACATATATCTATGATCGGGAGTTTTCCTGGATGTTAGTATGTAATTTTTTTTTCTAATTACGAAAATTACAATTTTACATCACTTTTCTACATTGATGGATCAGTGACCGCACGGACATTCCTGACAAAAAGCTTGTGTTTGTGTGTACAGAAATGTACTATTCATCCTCCCTGTTAAATTTGATCTAATCATGTCCTCAAACACACCTCCTCTGCTTTCACTTCTCATACTGACGGAGAGAGCGATTCGTTTGTGAATGAATCCCCCGAACGACTCTTTCACTAACGTTAGCCGTCAATAATACAAGTTTCTGGCAGCGCAGCATCTCGTTGTCATATTTCTTTTGCATTGTTTGCTGATTTTATTCAACAAGACTAGCATAAGCCGAGTGTTTGCCTTATGGTGAATGCAGTAAGTGACTGTTATCATCAATAACGTTACCAGATTAGCACAAAAGTTCAGAACATACAAAAACAGAAAGAAACTATATATTACCTATGAAACGTTCTGCCTTTGTGCTTTGTTTTCTTTGTTTGCTCGTTACTACACCCGTAGACAGCGCTAAAGTCCCGCATCTTCACGTAATAACACGCTCTTGACTAGTGCGGTTGAATGACATTTGTCCTGGGAGCACTGTACCAATGTGGCGTCGCTATTGACGCATGCTCAGTGTCCCTATGCGATATCTAGTGTATATATCTATGGGGTGATAGAAAGAAAAAGGTAATTAGAGACATAATACTAACATAAATAATCAATGTGTGCTGGCACGTAACACTACATACTGTATATATTTATACATATATATACACATATATATATATATATATATATATATATATATATATATATATATAAAAAAATATATATATATATATATATATATATGCATACATACATACACAGCTCTTCGGCTTTATAAAAATGTTGTAAAAAGTATCTTAAGTCCCTTAAGCTACATTTAGTCAAATTAAATAATATTCTTTGTTTATTTATTTATTTTTTGCCTATCCCTAAACAAATTCAACAAATAATTCACCTAAATCCAAAATTAGAAACACTTTGAAAAATTATGGTTACTACTGGTCAGGGCCCGGGCACAAGCCCACGGGGCTCATGCAATTTATCACTTGGGGCCCTTGTGAGAGGAAGAAAAATATTGCTAATTTTAGAGTGTTTATTTACACTGCAAATAGCGCAGGTTGTTGGTGGAAATTATGTTTGCCATCCCAAAGAAACATTTCTAATAACAGACTCAGTAACGTAACTTGTAAAAAGCCTGGCACATGATTTGAGGCAGTCGATTATCAACCCAGTTTCAATCCACCACCTGCCAAACTCATAATTCTTTTTCCCCATTACATATCAGATCACAAATATGTTAAGGAAATTTTTATAAAATATCAACATAGTTGCTATACATTTGAAATTAATTATTGAATATATAAAAAAATATGTGGGCAATACATTATATAGAGACATTGTTATATATTTATTATATATCATTCTGCAAGGCAAAACAAGGGCCCCTACAAGACATTGTGCCAAGGGGCCTCTGAATTCTTAATCCAGGCCTGCTAATGATGCATAACAGCTTTGCCTACATTATACAATAATGAAATGTGTTAAAAATTATTTATATATATATATATATATATATATATATATATATATATATATATATATATATATATATATATATATATATATATATATATATTTATTTATTTATTTATCTGAACCTCTTTCAGAGAATTGCACTTTGTGAGCTGATCACCAGATGTGCAAAACATCTGTTTAAGACGTATCTTTTGGTAAGTGTTCAGAAATTATGATATTAATAATACTCTGTGGGATAATGATGTATGTTAGGATTCTCTTGCCAAAACTTGTATCCCTAATCCTCTTTCCCTGTGTAGGCAGTGGAACCATCTGCTCTGTCCGCCTCTGTCAGCCATTTCCTAAACTGCTTCTTGAGCTCCTTCGCCGATGCCGGAGTCATTCAGCAGAGCGACAGGTTAGCTTCCAGACGCAGGAGTCGCAGGAGACGCAGTCAAGTGTCTGAAGGTGGTACGGTGACCATCTGGTCCACCCTCACTCCCAGCGATTTGTGGAGAGCCATCAGCACTGAGGCTCTGGAGTATTACCACTACTGTTTGTGCTGGTGAGGGGCTGCGCTCAACACTCAAAGACCACACTGAGATCTTAAACAGGGCTTTCACACTGTGTTTAACCATGGGTTACCGTCATTTTAAACAGAGCTTTTATCTCTGGACTTTTCACACATTTAAAGCAGAAACTATTTACTGGGTTATGATTTTGCAGGTTTGAAGCCAGATTTATACTTCAAGCGATTGCCTTATCACAATATACAGTTCAAGTCAAAATTATTGAATTTAAACTCTTTCTAAAATATTTACCAAGCGTTGTTAAGATGAGAGAATTTTTTTACACATTTCTAAACATAATAGTTTCAGTGACTAATTTTGCAAAACTTACCCTGACATGCACCTCTAAAAATGATACGAAGACATGTCACTGTGAGCACAACATCTCTACTAGCTGGGCTTCCAGCTAACTATATCAAGCCTCTTCAACTGCTCCAGAATGCAGCAGCACGAGTGGTCTTCAATGAACCTAAACGAGCACATGTCACTCCGCTGCTAGTCCGTTTGCACTGGCTGCCAGTTGCTGCTCGCATCAAATTCAAAGCTCTGATGTTTGCCTACAAAGTTACTTCTGGCCTTGCTCCTTCTTATCTGCGCTCACTTCTGCAGATCTATGTGCCCTCCAGAAACTTGCGTTCTGTGAATGAACGTCGCCTTGTGGTTCCATCCCAAAGAGGGAAGAAATCACTTTCGCGAACGCTCACGCTCAATCTGCCCAGTTGGTGGAATGAACTCCCTAACTGCATCAGAACAGCAGAGTCACTCGCTACTTTCAAGAAACGACTAAAAACACTAACTGTACCCAAAAAAATCACACTAACTGTACCCAAAAAAAAAACAAAAAAAACACTAATACTACTAATACTTCCCTTCTTAGACTTTACAGACCTGAAACTTGCCTATAGCACTTATTTATTGTTGCTCTTAGTTGTGTAAATTGCTTCCTTGTCCTCATTTGTAAGTCGCTTTGGATAAAAGCGTCTGCTAAATGACTAAATGTAAATGTAAATGTGATTGTTCAGCTTGGTAGAGGTGGCGAGTGTGACATGTAGTTAAGTTTTTTGAGAGTTGCGCTCTTTTAGAGACCTAGCATGTGCACTCAAAACTATAAACTGGCCTTAACACAGCAAAAAATTGGATCGCTAGCATTCGACAACCAATCACAAGTCTTGTTAAACAGTTGATTCAGATGGGGACAGAAATGCAAACTTTGACCACAAAATTGAACTCTCACTTTTATAGTCTGAAAAAAGTCCATTCAGGAAAAAATTTGATAGCAGTCTACATACAATATATATGTAACGACGGGAAGTGACACATACAACTGAGGTAAGATCCACAATGCAGGTTTATTCGTCGACAGGCAAGCAAAGGTCAACACAGGTGCAAACAGGTATATGGAGACAGTCCAGAATCGTAATCAGTGACAGGCAAGAGGTAAAAAGGCAGGCGGCAGACAGGGATAACTAAATAAACAAGGCTAGGTAAATACACGGGAAAACAAGGCTAGGAAACCGCGTTGTAATGTCACTGTGACAGATAACAAGACTCGGCAAACTAAATGAGTGACTGTGTGGCTTAAATAGTGTGTGCAATCAGTCTCTGACAATCCTCAGGTGGTGTGAATGTAATCAGTTCAGATGAGGAAGCATGTGTGTCTGTGACCGGAGTGCATGTATTAAAATGTAGTCCAGAAATGGCGGATTTGTAGTCCATGGTTATTGAGAGTGAAATCCAGCAATCTTATGAACGATCGCTGGTAATCGTGACAATATATGAGGGAACAATTATGGAAACTGGACACATACTGAATTTGTCCGACCACTTGAACCAAAATTATGCATATTTGGATGTTAATCCTAGGTTTAGCATTGTACTCTGTGAACAAAGATAGCATAGGGTTAAATTTACACAGGGTTTAGGATGACTTAAGTAGTCAAGTTAATGGGATAGTTCAATAAAAAATGAAAATGCATTCATCATTTACTCAAACTTCACTTTTTTCAAAAAAAAAAAAAAAGACATGTGCTATAGGTGAATTGAATTGACTAAATTGGCCATAGTGTGTGTGTGAATAAGTGTTTATGGATGTTTTCCTGTACTGAGTTGCAGCTAGAAGGGCACCCGCTGTGTAAAACATATGGTGGAATAGTTGGCGGTTCATTCTGCTGTGGCAACCCCTGATAAACAAAGGGCTAATCTGAAGGAAAATGAACGAATGAAATAATGTTGGAATCCAGTAGCCACTGACACAGATAGACATCAATGGTTGACACTAATCATTGACACTATAGAAGTAAATGGTTACTGGTTTCCAACTTTCTTCAAAATATCTTCTTTTGTGTTTAACAGAAAAATGAAACTCAAACAGGTTTGGAAGGGCGAGTGAATGATGGGAGAATTTAAATTTCTGTGTCTACAATCTTTTAAAGGTTGTTTGAAAAGCTCTGATTTCATTTCCGTCTGGCAGTGTTAGTGTGGAGGAGGCCGTGGACAAATGCAGACTGCAGAGGATCACCCTGCTCAGAGAGACTGCCATCAAAACTGGCATTCAGGTATGTCAGACTGCATCATTTAAGGACATAGTTCACACAGCAATTGTGAAATTGAAATTTGCTGGTAGTTTTCTGACTCAGACCATTGAAGATGTAGCTGCCTTTTACTCTTCAGTAGAACAATAAACAGGGTTTCAGTGGAGTCTCTAAAGGTCTTAAAATATATTTTATTTCAAAAACAAAGACTTAAAAACTGTTCAATTAACTGAAATATGGTGTTTTGGGTCTTAAACTATTTGAAACTGCTCATAAACATTTGTTTAAAAGTTCTCTGTGTTTGTAGCTATACCTGGTGAGGATACTGGCCTGAACAGAATGTGGTGCATAAATCTAGTTTAGTCTAGTTTTTAAAACTTATTTTAAGAAAGGTTATGCTGAAAAAATATATGTATATAACTAGAGTTTGTTTTGACACATTGTTTAAAATATATGGCTAAAAAGTTACTACATTTGAATTTTAATGCCCAACCGGGCCATTCAAAACAAATCTTTAGCAAATTATTCTGTATACTGCTGACATTTCATTAATAAATGAAATTAAATGTAGAAATTTCAAATTTAAACCTGCACAAAAATTGAATAAACAAGTCCAGAACATGCTTTACACAGCAGATGCCCTTACAGCTTCAATCCAGTACTGGGAAACACCCATACTTCTCATTCACATACATACACTACGGCCAATTTAGCTTATTCAATTCACCTATACTGCATGTGTTTGGACTGTGGGGGAAAACCGGGGCACCCAGAGGTAACCAACGTAAACACGTGGAGAACATGCAAACTCCACACAGAAATGCCATCTGACCCAGCGGAGGCTCAAGCCAGCGATCTTTTTGCTGTGAAGCAACAGTGCCACTAAGCCACTATTTCGCCCATTGATGGAACTTTAAAAGTAAAAAAAATGTACACAGACAAAATAAAAATTACTATTAATGAACCCCAGTTTGAGTTAAAAAGATGTTTAATGTTTACTGAATACTTTATTTGAAGTGTCTGTGTTCATCTCTCACTCTGGATCTCTCTCTTTTTAAGATTCTTTTAAGAGAGTATCAGTTTGATTCTGGACAGAATGTTGTATTCACTGAGGAAGACATCCTTAATATTTTCCCTGTGGTGAAGCACATCTCTCCGAGGGCCAGTGATGCTCTTTATCTCCTGCACCGTGGTCAGATGAAGGTCCAGCAAGGTAAATATTGTTTGAAATTTTTTATAGGATAATGTAGTCTACCTGGCAAATGTCTTGTCATCGAGCCCAGTTATAAGAGCAAGAAATAATAACTTGACTTCGTGGCAGAAGTTAGTTCTGTTTCATTCCTCCTGACCGCCAGAGACAGTGTTAACACAGTGGATAATTGCAGCGCCAGCTGGATAGGCCGAGGAGCAATATACCAACAAAGTCACATGGTGACGCGAGCTGAGATATATAATCCGCTACAGGGGCCTCATGTATCAACATTGCATACGCACAAAAACTTTGCGTACGCCAGGTTTCACGCTCAGAATCGCTCACGTTTGGATTTACTAACGATGAAATGAACGTGGGAATGTGCGCAGCTCCACGCCAGCTTCATGGCTGGCGTATGCACATTTTTTGTGCGTGTCTGTTTTATTTCCATTGGCGACTCCTAGAGGCAGTTGTGTTCAATTGCACTCTACAAAATGTCTTTGAGCCGTGCAATGGCAGCTGTATGAGACGGGTTCATCTAGCAGGTATATAAGGTTTCCATACCATACAGTTGACCAGCCAAACATTAAAGCGCAATTTGCAGCGGTCGCCTGTTTTCCCAATGTAATGGGAGCGATCTACTGCACGCACATTGCTATATGTTTTTTGACATCTTCGGACTACAGTTGGTTTTTCCTTTGTTACTGATCTAGGATCATTCACTCTAATATATCGTGGACTGTGGGTGAGTTTTTCTTCATTATCTTACATTCAGCTGTAATGTATAAGTGTCATTTGCCTCGCTGTATTATCCAGGGGCTAGACGCTGTATTTTCGTAAGCATCTGAGTTAAGTTATAGCATATATCTCACGGGACTATCCAGAGATTGAACACCGTGACACTGTCACTTTTATGTCCGAGTGGTAATTATCTCATGGTACTATCCGGAGGTTTTATACCGAAATGCGGTTAGTGTTTATGTGACATTTACCTCGCGGTTCTATCCGGGGGATACTTTTTCTACAGCTACAAATACTCTGTGTGTTTTTCTTGTCTGTTATTGGACATATGCCCCGTTCTGCCAAACTGACTTAACCGTGGACGATCACTATATTTTAGCTAGTGATGATTTTCTTGTTTTCTGTTTCTCTCAGTGCATCCGGAGATCCAGTTTTTGGTCGACGGTTAGCGAGATTATATCGTGCGTTACGTTATATCACTAATGTTAACGTTAGCCAACGGTCTTAGCCGTGGTAAGTTATTTGGTTGGTCAGTTCGACACCTTCTCATGGCTTATTAGGCCATTTCCACGGTTTTCCCGATAACTTGCAAGCTCTGTCCTAACGAGCTTATCCCGGACGACGGACACGATATCTGCCCATGCTGTCTTGGCGTTCAACATCTGTAAGACGAGCTAACCGATCCGTGCCCGCATTGTAGTTTGCTGCCCCTGTCATAGAGACAGGTGCGTTTGGCTGGGCTAAGCCACAATCAGGATGCTGTTGCTTTACCAGTGGGCCTAGAGTTACTGAAAGTGGGGGCTTCTGGAGCGCCTCGTCCTAAGAAACCTTGCCTGAACAGTAAGCACATGGCTGGATATCTGTTGTCGAAGAAAGTGGCTGTCTGTCATCAGACATGGCGGAGATGAAACGCCTTTCACAAAGTCTACAACCAGAGTCACATTCATCAGGATGACTATCGATTCAGTCTCAGACGACAGACCTCTTGAGCCAGTTTTGTTTGGGAGTATCTATACAGTTTAGCGTGCTCCTGAGGTTGATGGGGATGCTAATGGAAGCCTCTTGTGTAATTCCCCTGGGATTGCTCCATCTGCGGCCCCTGCAGGTATGGAACAATCTTCTGCCTTTTTGACAGCCGGGTACCGTAAGGGATTGTTCCCTCCCGCCGCAAGGTTATAACAACCGATGCGTCCCTTATGGGTTGGGGGGCAGTATGGAACCACAGAGGTATCAGTGGCAGATGGTCAAGAGACGAGTCAAGAGACCATATCAATGTATTGGAGATGCGGGCAGTTTTGCTGGCCCTGAGGCATTTTCTTCCTGTTTTAGCAGGTCGACATGGCCTAATCCGGTCGGACAACACATCAACGGTGTTCAATTTGAATCACCAAGGAGGTACAAGGTCCAAGAGTTTGTTGCGTCTCACGCACATGATTCTCACATGGTCTCTTCCTCGGTTTGCATCACTAAGGGCTGTTTATCTGCCAGGGGCAGTCAATCGGACTGCAGATGCTCTGTCCAGGAATCAGATCGATCCAGGGAAGTGAAGACTTCATTCGGATGTAGTCCAGGACATTTGGACAGAGTTTGGCAGGGCAGAAGTAGACCTATTTGCGACGAGAAACACAACTCATTGCCCATTGTGGTTTGCTCAGATGGAAGGGTCCAGCCCGTTAGGACAGGACGCACTGTCACACGACTGGCCAAACCGCCTTCTTTATGCTTTTCCTCCAATACCTCTGATATGGAAGACACTGCACAGGATTGCTCAGGGCAGACACCGTGTACTTCTAATAGCACCATGGTGGCTGTCCAAACCATGGTTTCCCTTGCTCCTAACGTTGTTGGTGAACCAACCGAGGCAACTTGAAGGCAGGAGGGAGCTGTTGTCTTAACTAGATGGTCATATTTGGCATCCAGATCCAGCACGTCTACAGTTATGGGTGTGGCCTCTGGGACCAACCCTTTATTAGAAGAATGTGAGCCTTCAGTCATCCACACAGTTCTTAACTCAAGGGCAGCTTCTACAAGGAAGCTTTAGGCTTACCGATTGAAGTCATTTTGTTCATGGTGTGCGACTCGGAATCTTAATCCTGTGCAATGCAAAGTTCCAGTAGTTTTAACCTTTTTACAAGGGCTGTTAGAGAGTGGCAAGGCTGCATCCACACTAAAGGTCTACGTGGCAGCCATCTTGGCCCATTATGCATCTGTAAATGGTTCCTCTTTAGGGTCTGATAGCCTAGTTTTCAGTTTTTTGAAGGGCGCAAAACGTCTCAATCCAACTCGTTCTTCTCGTTCTCTGGTGTGGAACTTGCCTCTGGTGCAGGAGTCTCTCTGCCAGTCTCCATTTGAACCTTTAGAAGAGGTTCAAAAAAGTGGAAGTCCTTAAAGACGGCTTTCTTCTTGGCTGTTGCTTCTACAAAGAGAGTGTGTAAGCTGCACGCTTTGTCAGTGAGTCAATCCTGCTTGTGATGGAAACCAGACGACTCTGGTGTTACCCTCTGGCCTAATCCATCTTTCATCCCTAAAGTTCTGTTGCAGCAATTTATTAACCAGTCAATTAAATTGCAGTCCTTTCAACCATCACCTTCTGGCCAAGGTTCTCTGTTTCTATGCCCTGTGCGTGCCTTAAAATCTTATGTGGCAGCTACTACACAGTTACGACGATCAGAACAGCTGTTTGTCTGTTATGGAGAAGCTAGGAGAGGTGCACCTCTAAGCAAACAAAGACTGTCATGATGGATTGTTGATTTCATTGTTTTGGCCTATAAGAGGGCTCTGCAACCTATACCTGGTGCCATCACTTGCCATTATACTAGAGCCATTTCCTCCTCCTAGGCTGCTTTTAAGGGTGTTTCTCTTGCAGAGATCTGTGCAGCAGCGACATGGTCTTCTCCATGTACATGTGCAAGGTTCTACAATATCAGTGTTGCTGACTCTAAGGATAAAGGCTCAGCTGTTCTCCGCAAGTGACTCCGTATGTCTTCTGGTGAGTTTTTTCTTCCTCATGACTTTTCTGGTATGGGTCATCCACTGCGTAAACACTGTCTCTGGCGGAAGGGAGGAATGAAACAGAACGTTGGTTACATATGTAACCGTGGTTCTGTGAATTCCGGATGACCGCCAGAGTTCCCTGTCACTCGGAAGGGCAAGAGCTGTAGCAGATTATATACCTCAGCTCAGCTCGCTTCACCATGTGACTTTGTTGGTATATTGTTCCTTGGCCTATCCAGCTGGCGCTGCGATTATCCACTGTGTAAACAGCGTCTCTGGCGGTCATCTGGAATTCACAGAATCACGGTTACATACGTAACCAACAATTTTTTTAGTGAATCATCTGTTGAACTGCATCCCAATCATCACAAATACTGCAGAAGACCTACTGGAACCCACAGAGACCCAACATTTACACAAATAATCTGTCAAGTTTAGTGAAGGAAAAATCATGATGTGAGGTTACATTCAGTATGGGGGTTTACAAGAGATCTGCAGAGTTGATGGCAACATCAACAGCTAGAGGTATCAAGACATTTGTACTGCCCATTACATTACAAACCACAGGAGAGTGCCAATTCTTCAGCAGGATAGCGCTCCTTTTCATACTTCAGCCTCTACATCAAAGTTCCTGAAAACAAAGAAGGTCAAGGTGCTCCAGGATTGGCCAGCTCAGTCACCAGATATAGATATAGAACAGGGGTCACCAAACTTGTTCCTGGAGGGCCGGTGTCCTGCAGATTTTAGCTCCAACCCTAATCAAACACACCTGAACAAACTAATCAAGCTCTTACTAGGTATACTTGAAACACCCAGGCAGGTGTGTTGAGGCAAGTTGGAGCTAAACCCTGCAGGGACACCGGCCCTCCAGGACCGTGATTGGTGACCCCTGATATAGAACATTATTGAGCATAGTAAGATGAAAGAGGAGGCATTAAAGATGAATCCAAATTATCTTGATGAACTCTGGGAGTCCTGCAAGAACACTTTCTTTGTCATTCCAGATGACTTTATTAATAAGTTATTTGAGTCATTGCAGAGATGTATAGATGCAGTCCTCCAAGCTCATGGGAGTCATACACAATATTCATTATTTTACCACTGCACACCATGACTTTATATTCAATACTGTACATTATTTTTGTTTAGTGACAAGACTTTTGTCTAAGCAAAGACTGACCTTACTGTCTATTACGACCACGGTCACAACATCAAATAAGGGATAGCACAAATGGATGGGTCTAGGGGTTTTATTAACTGAATAACCAAACGTAAGCAAAGTGTGGGGAGAAAACACAAACAAAGGCTAAACACAAAAGGAGCAGAACTCCGCGTCTGGACTGCCGCTCAAATCCCCTTCACTGAAACAATGCAGCGTGAGCTCTTAAAATCACCGGCGGTCAGTGGTCTGCAGGTGCGGAGGAATCAACTTAATCGAAACACAAACAGCAACAGAACACTTCAGGGCGACAAAGTAACAGAAATAAACAAATAATAGTAAATACATGGACATGTAACACTTTCCTAATTAAATAGTTAAAATCAAGGCATGATTATATTTTATTTTAGAAAAATAAGCATACTCTAGAGGCCTTTGACTTTCATATGAGACGCTTCTGATACCAAATGATCAAGTAGAAGTCAAGTTATTATTAAGGATGTAACGTATTGTAAATACCGTCATACCGCAATATTAATTTTTTTTCGATATTACCGAAGTCGCATGACTCGGAAAAACTATAGGTCTTCTGAGAAAATTTGCTCAGGCGAATGAAGCGAACGGGAGGTACCGGAAACTACAAAACCCATCAGCCCAGGCTTGGCCATAATCCCTTGCGGTCTGTTGTCGCTACAGATCCAGTAATGCGGAAATGGAGTGTGCTGCTAGAAGCGGGGATCAAAAAGAGCTGGAAAACCCTAAAGCGGGTGTTGTCGCCGCGCGCGTACTGAATAGTGGTGTTGTCGCGCGAGTTCTTATCAGCTGTGTTGTCGCGCGCGTACTGTAAAGCGGGGACGGAGGGTATGTCGCGTCGCGGGGGCACTTTTGATCATTTTGGAAGGGAACTTTCTATCCAAGACCAAAAAGGGCATGTGCACAGCACAGGTTGAGCACTGTGTGTGCACGTGCCTGCAAGTTGGGAAATACGACTAATAATCAGTCATGGGGATTGCAGAAACACAGCACACTGTTCAGATTGATGCAGACATGAGATCTCTATCTCACTCATGGTTTGTCCTCTCAAGTGGGGGAAAGACAATGCACAACGTTACCCACTGCTGTCAACCTGGGCCAAGTCATATCTCTCTTGTCCCAGAAACCTCAGTCCCAAATAAGAGGGTTTTTTTCTGTTGCAGGGGACATTGTAAATACCCAGAGATACCAGCTTTTACCAGATTATATTTATATGATAATTTTTTTTGCTTTAAACCCATCTCTATCTAAGTGAGTGAGTGATTAAATGTTAAATGTGATGAGTTTTCAACACTACTAAATTGAAACTTAATTTTTTTACATGGTTTAATTTTTTTTTGTTATTAAAGTTGAAGTTCCTGTTTCAAAGCTTACAGATAGATGGCTAATTTGTATGTCATTGACACTTTTGGCACTTTTTTGGAGTATTTTCATAAGTTTTGTTTTTTCCTGTAAATGATTCAATAAATACCGTACCGTGACATTCATACCGAGGTATTACCGTACCGTGAAATTCTGATACCGTTACATCCCTAGTTATTATGTGTTGTTTCTTAAAATTGGATAGGCGACAAAACTTTTGTCAGGTAGTGTGCATATTATACACATTATTAGCATTTTAAACAAATAATATGATTGTGTGTTGTTCTTTACATTTATCGAGACCAAAGAAATTAGTTATTAGAAATGAGTTATTAAAATTCTATTAAAAATATAATAATGCAGTTTAAACTTCCTCGCCCAAAACATTTGAATCATAGCACATATCAAAACAAAAACAATATTAAAACCCTTTTTGATGTGTGTATGTGAAGGCTGCCTGAAAGAGGGCTGCGAGTTAATCTGCCAGGCTCTGGCTCTCTTCACTAATGTCTATGGGGCTCTGCATCAGGATGTCTGTGTCTGTTTGCGGCTGCTGGGACGAATACACTACATCCTCGGAGAATACGCTGAGGTATCACATGTTCTTCAATCTCATGTGTTTGAAGTTCAAATAAATATGACAAAAAGTGACTGAAATGATGAACGGGCTGTGTTTATTACTGTCAGGCGCTCAGTCACCAGCAGAGGGCAGTGCTGATCAGTGAGAGAGTCCTGGGAATTGAGCATCCCAGCACTATACAGGAATATGTAAGTCTGTTTAAATGAATAAATAAATACATAAAAATTGTGCTACAAATAATCCATACAGTGAAAACTGACAAGGAGGTGCATTCGACTTATTTTGTGTCAGTTATGAAAATAATGTTTTGGTCAGTGTTGGGTGTAATTTACATAGGAACTAGTTACAGTATTTACTTACTTATAAAAGTGATGTAAGGGATTACTTTTTACATGTTTATGTAATTTATTTATTAATTTATTATTATTTATTAATTGTAATTTAATTTATTATTTACTTATTTATGTAATAAGGAATATGCAGAGCTAGTGTTTCTTCCCATACTGATAAACTTCCGGTGAATGGTTAATGTGACTTTTTTCCATTTTATACGGTTCCTTTTACAGCATCGATGTTGTAATGTAATTAATATACAATCAGTTTAATAGACTTTAGCATTTATTTAGTTGGTCAAATGTAAAACGAGACAAAAAGCCTTTTACTTGCACACGCACAGGCCCGGATTGGCTAATCGGGAGGACCGGGAGAATTCCCGGTGGGCCGGTCCGTTTTTTGGCCGCGAGGGCCGGTGTCCCTAGCTTCAGAATCTGTTGCTCTCAGCAGTCACACTTTTTAAATTAATTTATTTATTTACTTGACCACAGTCTTCTTATTCATTATTTTACCGCAGCTCTACTCTTTTTATATGTAACCAGCCTGCAGGTTAATGATGATATAACTCAGATGAGTCACTTCTCTATATATAACTGTTGTGGTCCAGTGGTTAGCACGTTAAATTTTGATGCTGCCGACCCGGGTTTGATCCTCGACTGAGTATGTTATTATTATTTTTTTTTCTTTTCATTTTTATTGTCAAGAAATATAATACTGTTAGGGTTGTTGAACATTTAAAGTTCTAAAGCAGCTGTTTTCTCAAAAAAAGACGTGATAGAGTATTAGAAACTGAATTGGAAATGACCTTATTTTAATATAGTCCGTCTTGAACTGAGGTGGGCCGGTCTGAGGCTTGAAACTCCAGGGCTGAAAAAGAGTCCCACTCCGGCCCTGCACACGCATGTCAGGATTAGCAGGCTAGCACAGAAGCTCCATTATACTGGGGTAAAATAAATGTTCATATTTTAAAGACAGTGGGGAAAAATGCAATTTAATGCAGTGCTTCTTGTACAATCTCTATCGGATATCACTCAACCTGTCACCGACTCGGTCCCAGTCATTCCCCTCGCTGGCCAGCAGAGGCCACCATCTCCGGACTTTTAGCATTACATCATCCACTTTAACTGATTGCGCACACACCTGAACTGAATCCCGTTAACGACCCACGCCACCTGTTACAAGCCACGCTCAAGCACCAGTTCAGTGCGAAGTCTTGTTCTGCCACGGCCAACATCTCTGAGCGGTAGTCCTTGCCTGATCTCCTGTATATTACCCCGGACTGTTTCTGACTCTGAGTAAATGGATCCCTCTGTGTCAGTCTCCTCGTTACACAACCAGTGGAGATCTCTAGTTTTTAAAGAAAACAAACTTTAAATGTGACGATTTTGTAATAGCATACCGGAAATGCTTAACCCAGGTAACTGACAAATTAAAAGTCCTTTCGCATATACCCTATATGCTTGTTTAAAATATAATAAAATAGCTTATTATAAAATACTTTTCCTTTGAAAAAATATTGTGAGGGACTACTTTTTAGTTTTAGGTAATTTAATTAGCGTTACTTGAAGTATATTTGTCTAAAATACAGTAAACTTGCTTATTAAAAGGTTACTCTTACATCTTACTCCTGCAAAAACATAACACATACTTTCACATTTCTTTCTTAAAAAAAGTAACCAAGCAGCACATTTAGCTGCTTGTTTTAAAAAGTGACTGAAGTGTTTTAAATATTATCTTTATCCCAACACAAAGTATGAAATACGGTTACAATTTATAAAGTGAACATTTTTTACTAAAGGTAAAAAGCCCTGTTTGATAAACTTTAAAAAGAGTTTGATGTCTATTGTCTACACTTTAAGATTTATGGGGATTTTCATAGTATTTAGTCTAGTAGTTCAATTTCTTAATGAGTATTAATTTACTTTTGAGACAGTAATTAGAAAAGGAATTTAAATCAAGTTAATGATGTAATTAGGGCGATTCATGTTCGATGGTATTTCTGTATGGAGTTTGCATGTTCTCCCTATGTTCACGTGGGTTTCCTCCGGGTGCTCCGGTTTCCCCCACAGTCCAAAGACATGCACTTAAGGTGAATTGCATATGCTAAGCTGTCTGTAGTGTATGTGTGTGAATGGATGTTTTCCAGTACGGGGTTGCAGTTGGAAGGGTATCCACTTTGTAAAGCATTTGCTGGATAAGTTGGCGGTTCATTCCGCTGTGGTGAGCCCTGATGAATAAAAGGACTAAGTCGAAGGAATATTAATAATAATAATTCTCCAGATTATTTTTCTTTTGTTTTCCCTACAGGAGGGAAATATTCACTATATAGTTTGTGTGGTTTTTTGTCTTATTTATTTAACATACACTAAAAAATGCCGGGTTCCACACAATCAATCTGTGTTGTGACAACATGAAGGAATTAAGTTTTACAGATTTAAGTCGATTAAGCATAAAACAAGTTGTCACAAAAAAAAGTGTCGTTTCAACTCAATTTTTAATAAATATAGTTTGAACAAACGTCATTTTTTGAGTGTAATAATCCAAGTGATATTATTCAATCATTCATTCATTCATTTTCTTGTCGGCTTAGTCCCTTTATTAATCTGGGATGGCCACAGAGGAACGAACCGCCAACTTATCCAGCAAGTTTTTATGCAGCGGATGTCCTTCCAGCCGCAACCCATCTCTGGAAAACATCCACACACACATTCACATACACACTCATACACTACGGACAATTTAGCCTACCCAATTCACCTGTACCGCATGTCTTTGGACTGTGGGGGAAACCGGAGCACCCGGAGGAAACCCATGCGAACACAGGGAGAACATACAAACTCTACACAGAAACGCTAACTGAGCCGAGGCTCGAACCAGTGACCCAGCGACCTTCTTGCTGTGAGGTGACAGCACTACCTACTGCGCCAATGCTTTGCCCCAAGTGATATTATTCATTCATTAATTTTCCTTCAGCTTAGTCCTTTTATTCATATTTCATATGAATATTAAATAATATTTCATTATTACTTCATAGTTTATTCAATTCACCTGTAGCAGGGGTGTCCAAACTCGGTCCTAATTGTATAGAGAATATTGTAATGTTTTTGTACCCACTTTATATAAAACTTCACTGTTCAACCACACTTACTTCTATAATTCATGCAAAGCTTCATGGGTTGTAGGATGGATTAAAATGAGCAAATTTCTTTCTTCTTTGTGCAGAGGCTCCTGGGTCTGTATTGCTTTGCTGGTGGTCAGACAGTGACGGCTCTGCGGTTGTTGTACCGGGCAAGATACCTGATGCTGCTGGTGTGTGGAGAAGATCACCCTGAGATGGCTTTACTGGATGTGAGTAATAATGATTCAAATGTGATGATAATGAATAACAAGACTCTTAATTTGAAGTAAGCAACATATTTTAAAGCAGAAAAAAATAGAAATTTCTTTGTTTAAAAAAATTTTTAAAAAATTCTGTTTTTCTATCAATCAATATTTTTGTGCGGGGAAAACCACACTGCTATGTCACATCCCATATAGCAAAATTTCTCTGGCCCAGCTCTGGCCCACACAATCAGGTTTTGCTTGGCCCACATGCCGCAGTGAATTACGGTACATGACTGGACCAAATCTGGCTTCCAGACAAGGGCCAAACACAGACCATATCTGGGCCAAGTCTAAGCCAAGTTAATAACTCTGAACTGGGCCAGTAAGGTTGGTGTGTCACGATTGCAATGAAATGAATAAACCTATGAAGCGTTGCGCTTTAGGCACACTATGGGCCTTGTTTTTTCTAAGTGACATGATTGGTAGAATTGATTTATTTAATCAAAAATTATTTTTATGTATTTTAAATGTGGGTCAAGACTGGCCAAACTCACGTGGCCCACAATCAATTTTAAAAATCTGGGCCAAATACTACGTTTTACATCTGGCCCAAATCTTGTGTGCTGCATTATAGACGGTGCCACCTCTGCCAAACCCAGGCCATGGTTGGCCCACATGCTGTATGCCAGTGCCGGATGAATGCCTGATGTCCCAGCTTTATGCCAAATCTGGGCCAGAATTCTTTGCTACTAAGGATTGGTCACATTGAGATGGGCCTTAAAATCTCTGGGATTTTTAGTTGTGTGCATATCAGTGCAATATCAGTGTGTACACACTATACCTACACGCATTTCTGTCCCAAAAGTTGATTTAGCATGCTAGGTGCCCTTTGGAAGTCTGTGTGAAATATACAGTGTTTATTTTGCTAGCGCACATTGTTATTCTTTAGGTGAATAATTCATCTGTGCAAGTTAATCCACTGAATAACAAACATTTTTTGTAAATCTTCAAAATCATCAAAGTCTGACTATTTGCTTCAGTGTTTGGAGCGGTAATCCTTCTTTCAACTTTATTTTGATGACTTCAGCCTCAATATTAACCACACCCCTCTGTTGTTTGCCAAAAAGCAAACAATAATGTGTCACATTAAAAAGAATTACTATAATTAATCATTAAAACAATATATAATATAGTTTTAAGTTGATAATCTTAACTGATTATCTGATTATAAATGACTATCTTTTACCAAACTGTTACAGCTGTTATATATATAATTATTATTATTATTATTTCTTTTGAATTAATTATTAATAGTTAATTTGTTTCTATTGCTAAATTTTGGTTTAAAAACAGTATATTGCTTACTTTAAATTACTACAGTATTAAATGTGGGAAATCATTGACTAAAAAGTTATTAGAAAATTAAGCAAATACACACTATTTAATCGCTTGAGTAAAATATTGATATAGTGTTATGCATTTATTACAAAGATTAAAATATTTTTATTACAAATAAAATGAATTATTGCCTATAATAACTTGCTATTATTTCCTTCATTATAAATGAATCCATTAAATAAATTAAACCTGTCCAATTTAGATCGTTCAGCAAGGCCAGCGAACGAGTACCTGCTAAAATGACTCTGTCAGATCATCTATGACAGGGGTCTCAAACTCAATTTACCTGGGGGCCGCAGGAGGCAAAGTCTGGGTGAGACTGGGCCGCATAAGGGATTTCACAAAAAAAAGTCCTCAAATGTCATTATTAACAGTTTTAATTATTTCTTCTGAACATGAAGTGTCCTGAACATTAATAGAACAATGAGTGAAGATTATGAACAGTTCTTCTGAACATGGCATCTTTTGCCTACTCCTTGCTGCCAGAGACTTGACAGCGCTTCTTCTCACAAATCTGAACCACATTTGGCTTTAGAGCGGAAGCAGTTGAGACCCTCAGTATGGCTTGCTCACTCAAAACTTCCATTCCCTCACCCACTGCAGAGTGGATGCGCGCGTACTGAAGAGCGGTGTTATCGCGCGCGTACTGATCAGCTGTGTTGTCGCGCGCGTACTGATCAGCTGTGTTGTCGCGCGCATACTCAAGAGCTGTGTTGTCGCGCGCCTACTGAAGGGCGGGACCGAAGGTGTGCCGCATTGCGGGGGCACTTTTGATCATTTTGGAAGGGCACTTTCTATCCAAGACTAAAAAGGGCAAGTGCACTGCACAGGTTGAGCCCTATGTGTGCACGTGCCTGCCCTCACCTAAAAAAAAGGCGTATATATGTATAAATAAAACACCCCCACCCCACTCCAGTCACATCAGTCTGTACCAGTCTGTATCTACCTATAATATATATAAGATGCAGGCTGTAGCTAGGTAGGTGGCAGGCTGCAGATAGGTAGCTAAGTGGCAGGCAGGGGCGGGAACAGCTTACCTTGGTTCTGGCCGGCGCGAGTTCCCTCCTAACACTTCCCGCCCGTCACAGCATCTAACAAAGGGGCGGGTTGTGTGGTCACCTTTGTTTACATGGCGGGCGGGGAATGCCAGTGACCGCTGTGTACGGATAGAATCAGCGGAGCGGGGAGCGCTCTCTCTCCCCGCTCCGCTGATTCTGTCAGTGTACAGTGGTCGGCGCGGACCACAAAATATTGCACTGAGGGCCGCAAATGGCCCGCGGGCCGCGAGTTTGAGACCCCTGATCTATGGTGACTGATAGAAACTCAGTCTAGTAGTATATGGCAATCGGAAACAACGCTCCCCATTCACGCGTCTCGATCACAATATTTGTGAAATAAAGTAAAGTAAACACTATTGTTTATTGTGTACAATGTTTATTAACCAGATATATTAAAATATATCGATGACAATGTCCAAGAAGACGTTAATAACATTAACATCCGTCGTAACCATATATGGTTTGCCTAGATTGTGTGTGCCAGATTGTGTGTGCCTAAAACGTGTGTGGTTCTGCGGGCCTGCAGCTGGATATTATTGGATTCAAATGCAAACATCTCAATTAAATCCCCATGATCAAGTGAATTTTCTTAAAATAAAAGTGTGTCAGTCTTTTCCCAATATTATTAGCTTGATTGGTTTCTCAGTTGCACTGGTTTGCTTAAAATAAGTAAATTTTATCTCTTTATTTTATTAGCGAAATATTCTCAATATTTTTTAATAATCCAGGATATCAATTTTTAAAGATTATATGCACATTATTTTTGATGAACACATCAGTATTTTTAATGAAAATTACAAGCCTCAAGATTAATTTTTTAGAGTGTAAATCTGAATATATTTATGTATTTATCTCCCGTACAGAGTAAGATAGGTCTTGTGCTTCATAGTATGATGGCCTGTGAACTTGCCCTCAAGTTCCTGGAAAACGCCTTGTTGCTGACCTCCAAATATCAGGGACCCTCATCTCTCAAACTGGCACAAAGGTGAAGAGCGAACAGAAGCACACACGACACACTGTCTCAGCACTGAGTGTTAGTTCTGAACCAGAGGAAAACATGAATGAAATCTCATTCATCCTGTCCTTTTATTCAGTCATCACCTACTGGCGAAGGTGTATGAAAGTAAAGGAGATTTCCGGGTCGCTCTGAAGCATGAAAAAGAACGTTACGGCATATACAAGAAGCAGGTTGGTATCTGCCGTTCCTAAAAATGATCCACATGTGTGAAGATTTTCATGATTGTTGGATTAATAGGTTTAAATAAAAAATTATTCAAACTACAGATAAAGGTTTTGATTTTTTTACTAGTGGGTGCAGGACTCAATAGTCCTTTTAAAGTAAGCCAATTAAAGTAATGGTGACATATTATATCCACAAATTCTTCATACCATAGACTAAAACCAACAGCAAGTCTAGAAAAATGCTTTGGATTGTTATACAACACTGAATATTGTTACATATGCTGCGTCCCAATTCACATACTATGGGCCGTATCATACACCCGCGCAGTGTGGCGCAAGGCGTGGCGCAGTAGTCTTTTGGTAGTTTCAGCTTGGCGCAAGAGTCGTTTTGAGGCGTTGCGCTACGCTGTTTAAATAGCAAATGCATTAGCGCTCGTTTGTGCACCCATAGGCGTTCTGGTCTAAAAAGGAAGGCGTTCTGAGGCGGACCGCTGGCGCGTTGCTATTTTGAGAAACTATAATAGATTTTTCATTATATTTCATTATATTTGACAGACAAAAACTAACCCGGTCTAAACTCTGGCGCAGAGTTGCGCCTCGCTTACGCACTGCTTAATACGCACAAGAGAGCAATAGGCAAATATCTTTACATATGAAAAAATTTAAATATTAAGGATATATATAGGATATAATAAGAATATATATAGAATATAAATATAAAGGATTAAAATATTACAAAACATATTATTTTCTAGCCTACATAAATATAAAAAAATCACTGCTTTTATGTCTTATTCATCTCGGGAGGCTTTTTCAGTTCATTAATAACAATTTGCTTTTGTATAATGTTATTATTATTAGCAGTATTATTTATTATATCCATGTTTATATTTGTTTTATTAAAAACAAGCTTAGATTTGCCCACCTGTCAGGTTTTAAACCATATGGGGCACAGAATGTGTTTTAGGATATAACTCAGGTTTTTGAGCACATTTTGTTATTATTGTTCATTTATTCGTTTGCTGGAAATTAGAACTGAATTTAGAAATAGTTTTGAAACGAATATTTGCGCTTAACAAACAAAAGTATTTATTTATAGACTAATTGATGTCTGTGCGTAAAGGTTTCCCTATTCAAGAGCGAAAGTGAAAGTGATCCATTATCTCTCATTCTCACGCAGTAGATGCTCTGTTTAACAGTTTTCTGTTAAAAAACTGTTAACTGTTTGCTTGTGAAATGCTCATTTTTTCCACTTAGACTTACTTTGTGTCCTGTAAATAGCGAATGCTCTCTTGGCGCGACGCAGCTGGCTCTTAAAGGGAATGGGAGATGAGATTCTAATTGGTTTATTCTCAAAACACACCTATAACTCATTAAGAAAATAAACTCAACCCTTTTAGACCATGCGCCACGGCGCAAGGCAGATTTCCCGTCCTTAAATTAGCAAAAACGCGTCCTGACACGCCCTGAAAGCGTTTGCGCCCTGCGTTTTGCGCTCTGCGCATGGATCGTCAAAATAGAGCCCTTATACTACACCCTAAAAGTATGTACTGTTTTTGTATAGGAAAAGTTTATACGTTTAAGTGTACAACAGAAGAGTATGCAAGCTTTGGGACATACTACTTCCTCTTTAAAAGATTGTTGTGTTGCTTAGTTTTGCCCACTGTCAATCACCCACAAACCATCCACATTTCTGTTGTATTTAATTTCCTACCTTATTGGAGAAGCTGCAGCAGGTTAATCTCCCATCCACGAGTCTTTCATGCAGAGTAATCTCCTCAGTTCTTTGGGTAATTATGCATTCAGACGTTTTGACGTCCAAAAGCATCTTTACATAAGTTCAGTATTGTTGTTGCAGATGAAATATAACACAGATAATGCAATTTAAATATTTTCCAGTGGGCTAGATATTGACTAACAGTCATTCACGCATCTTTACCGAAGCCTCTCTACTTGGCTTGATCTCGTGCGTCCATCATGTTTGTAGTTTATTTACACTTTTCACACGCGTTTTTAGTTCAAATCGAATTCACGTGCAATGTGTTGTGGGCAATATCATCAGTTAGAGTATGAACGCTTCTACACTTAAATTTTTAAACGGAAATAGCAAACCATCTGGCACACTCTTTTCAACATATTATGGCTTGGGACATACTAATTCTATTTTCAAATACTATTTAGGATGCATAGTATGCGGATTGGGACGCAGCAATAGTGTTATGCTTTTAACATTTGTTCATTGAAACCAGTGAGCTATTTGACAACATTATGGCAGGTTGGTAAATATTTTTTGTTAAATAATAATAAATAATTTATAATAATAATAATTTATAATGTATAATTATTTTTAATAAATAATAATAAATATTATTATTGTTATTTTATTATATCCTCGGTTTGGTACTATGAAAATAATTTGTCATACTGAAAAACTGTTAGAGTTACTGTTATTTGTAATTACAGAGAAGTTGTCCTAAAATTATTTCATATCACTTACCAGATTTCCATCCAAGATTCCAGATTTTCCAAGTTTTGAAAAATAAAAATCCCAAATGTGAATTAGGTGCATTTCCATCAAGTTGTTAGTGCGGCTGACTGTAGTATTGGTCACCTAGTAACCAACAATAAACAAGCAAGCATAATAGAGTCTTGTGTATTTCTATCACCCATTATTCGCATGATCCCCTTATTTTGCACAAGTGTAAAACCACCTCAAGCATGCATACATTTTTTTTATGAATTAAGGGATTTTTATTTGACACTTAGCATTTCATAAAATTTTTTTCTCATACACTACTTCAAAATGCAATTAACGCATAGCATTATACTTGGAAAACATATTTATTTTAAAACGAGTGAATATCGGTGCCCATACTACTATTTAAAAACATTGTTTCGGTGCATAGTTATATCCGCTTGTTGGGTGACGTGTTTGTGACGTATGTAATACTGTTTCCGGGTCCAAGTAATCCATTAATTTGAGTGGAGAAATCATTCGTTTATGATCACTTTTTATTAATATCACACATTTAAGTTAATTTTATATAAACTCAAAGTGTACACAGCAATCTCTGGGCTTACTGCATAACAAATACCAAAATGTTAACAATTTATAAAAAAATGAATCACTCTCTGGCCATCGGATATTAGGCATGGACATATATACTGCGATCGTGACTTTCGAAAGTATTAAATAACTTTGTATACGTTTATTAGTAGCATTTCATGAATCTCCCGATTCAGTTGAATAGAGTGCTTGGACCCGGAACCTGCTCAGCGTGACGTCACACTTAACAAGCAGATACAGTTGAAATCAAAATTATTAGCCCCCCTTTGATTTTTTTTTTTCTTTTTTTAAATATTCCCCAAATGATGTTTAACAGGGCAAGGAAATTTTCACAGTATGTCTGATAATATTTTTTTTCTGCAAAAAGTCTTGTTTGTTTTATTTTTCCTAGATTAAAAGCATTTAATAATTTTTTTAACACCATTTTAAGGACAAAATTATTAGCCTCTTTGAGCTATATTTTTTGTCGATAGTCTACAGAACAAACCATTGTTATACGATAACTTGCCTAATTACCCTAACCTGCCTAGTTAACCTAATTAACCTAGTTAAGCCTTTAAATGTCACTTTAAGCTGTATAGAAGTGTCTTAAAAAATCTCTAGTCAAATATTATTTACCGTCATCATGGCAAAGATAAAATAAATCAGTTATTAGAAATGAGTTATTAAACTGTTGTGTTTAGAAATGTGCTGAAAAAAAGTTTTCTCCGTTAAACAGAAATTGGGGGGGGGGGGGTAATAATTCAGGGGGGCTAATAATTATGATTTCAACTTAAGTTACATAAATATTGTCATACTAACAGTTATCTGAATAATTTTTTGGCTAATTACATATATATAAATATATATTAGCTTTCTACCTAATTTATATGGCATTATCAAGATGAATTTGTCATGATAGTTTAACACTGAGTTCTTATCATGTTTATTGACATTTTCTATTGAATAAACTGTGATAATGTTGTGGTGAAATGTTGAAGGTGTCTGCATTAATGTTGGTATGACTGTAGGTGGGAGAAGCACATGAGAAAACCCAGGAGAGTTCAGAGTACCTGAAGCATCTCACACACCAGGCTGTGATTCTGCAGAAAACCATGAACTGGATCTACAAGACTGGATCTGACACCAACATCTCCCCGCTCAATGTTAGTACTGTGTGTCTCATTTTGAGTGTGTTGTGGTGAAATGTTAATGAATTAATTATGCTGTGTCCTCATACAGCTGAACTCTCCCAGTCGGGTCTGGATTGTGGAACAGCTCAATCTGGTCACTGGGATTGTCCTTATTCCTCTTAGGTGAGACAAATAACCTTCATCTGTCAAATTTGAGGGCGACGCAGTGTCGCAGTAGATATTGCTGTCACCTCACAGCAAGAAGGTCACTGGTTCAAGTCCAGCTGGATCAGTTGGCGTTTCTGTGTGTAGTTTGTATGTTCTCCCTGCCTTCGCGTAGGTTTCCTCCGAGTGCTTCCCACAGTCCAAAGACATGCGGTACAGGTGAATTGGGTAGGCTAAATTGTCCGTAGTGTGTGAATGTGTGTGGATGTTTCCCAGAGATGGGTTGCGGCTGGAAGGGCATCCGCTGCATAAAAACTTGCTGGATAAGTTGGCGGTTCATTCCGCTGTGGCGACCCGGGATTTATAAAGGGACTAAGCTGACAAGAAAATGAATGAATGAATACATACACATATATATGTATATATATATAATGTTTTTTTAATGTCATACAGTCATAGCAACTATATGAGAGCTGCAGACTGACAGCTGCTGGATATGCTCTGCATAGTATGTAGTTTAGTATGACTGTAATCTGGACGTACTGCATTCACTGTGTTGTTACTGTCATGTGACATACCAGTTTCTCAACTGCGGTTCAGAAATCTTCTCCTCTGGACTCATGTGGTGGGAAAGTTCCTATTGTATGTACATTTCTGTATCTCTTTCAAAAATAGTAGGTCATCTGGATTTTTTGCCAACTTTTCTCTGAGTAGAGTGAATTTAGGCAAACGTATTTTGTCACATACTACTTTTTTGGCTCATGAGCACCATTTCTTTGTCAGAAGGGCTGGGTTACTGTACCCCTATGATCAAATTTAAAGAAAACTTACATTTAACCATTTGATTAAGTACAAACTGATCTGAATCTGAAATGATTTCTTATCCGCACATTGAAAAGAAAGCTTGCGTACCCTATTTGTATGTTCGATTTATTTCATATATATATTATTCAGAAAACATGCTTGTACACACTGGTTTACAGCTCTGTTTACATCACATCAATGCAGTACCTGCAAATGTGATGTCACAAAAATTTTAATCAGAATGTACAGTGGTTGGATAATGAAATTGAAATGCCTGGTTTCATTAGTGTAGTGTAGGGCCACCTTTTGCAGCCAATACAGCATCAATTCATTTTGGCAATGACAGATACAAGTCCTGCACAGCGGCTAAAAGGATTCTGAGCCATTTTTGTAGAGTATTGGCCAGGTCACTTTGTGATGCTGGTAAAGGAAAAGGCTTCCTGACTCGCTCCCCCCAAAAAAACCTAAGTGGCTCAACAATATTTACATCTAGTGACTGTGCAGGCCATGGGAAAAGTTCAACTTTGATGTTCACCATGAAGTTAATCTAACCACTCTCTCGCCAGTCTTTCTTTTGTATTGGTGCACTGTCCTCCTAATACACTGCATCATCTTCAGGATACAATGCTTGAACCATTAGGTTTACATAATCCTCCAGAATGGTTTGGTAGACCTTGGAAGTGACGTGCCCATCTAGCACAAATATTGAGTCTAGGGAATGGGATGATATTGCTGCCCAAACCATCAACGATCCACCCCCATGCTTTACTCTGGGCGGTACACTTCATTGGAGCTTCTCCACACTGTAACTCTCCCGGCTGTGGGAAAGACAGTGCAGGTGGACTCATCAGAGAACAATTCAAGATTCACAATGTTTGGCATTGGCACGGGTGACAAAAGGTTTGGCTATAGCAGCCCAGTCATGTATACTGACCCTGTGGAGCTACAGATGAGCAGTTTTGATGAAAACCAGAGAGTTTAGGTGCTAAAGTTATTCTGCTGTAAGTTGGACAGCTGTAGTTGTATGTTTTTTGGGAACAATCCGGGTTAGCTCAGATATATCATCCATAAAGTTGTGTGTCTTGCAATATTTTAAGCAAAGCTGTGCTATTACTCTGCTAATTAAACCTTCGCACACTGCTCTTACTTTTGGAATGTTTAATCAGTGAAGATTGACTCAAATTAAGCCATAAAACCAATACTAATACTATTACTAATACTATCATTGCCCAACCCTAGGGGCGAGGCAGTGGCGCAGTAGGTAGTGCTGTCGCCTCACAGCAAGAAAGTCGCTGGGTCGCTGGTTCGAACCTCGGCTCAGTTGGCGTTTCTGTGTGGAGTTTGCATGTTCTCCCTGCCTTCTCGTGGGTTTCCTCCGGGTGCTCCGGTTTCCCCCACAGTCCAAAGACATGCGGTACAGGTGAATTGGGTAGGCTAAATTGTCTGTAGTGTATGAGTGTGTGTGTGGATGTTTCCCAGAGATGGGTTGCGGCTGGAAGGGCATCCGCTGCGTAAAATCCTGCTGGATAAGTAGGTGGTTCATTCCGCTGTGGCGACCCCGGATTAATAAAGGGACTAAGCCGACAAGAAAATGAATGAATGAATGCCCAACCCTTGTATAGAAAACACATGTACAAAGATATCTGAATTGGCAATTGGATTCATCTCATCTGGATTGACAAAAAATGGTGCATGTAAACAGCCATTGTTATGATGATTAATCATTTCAGCCATAGTGTGCTGCAGGGAGCATATAATCACAGTAATACAAAAATAATCAGTATTTGATGCTCTGTTTACTGTAAGAATAATACAAGTTAAATGTATAGACAGTTTTGCCTCAGCAGTCTTAAGAGATCATTCAGACAGGGTTTGCTTTGAAAAATGAGCAGAAGAATGAGGAAACAAACTATTTCTCGAGATGCATTTTTTAAAAGTTGAAGTTCTTTTAACTCAAGTGTTGCATTTTTAACACAAGATGATGTGGTTCAATGGGCGAATACATCAGTCTACTTACTTTAATGCATAGAAAAACAATAGGAAAATGCAAAAAAAGTAAAGTTTGACAGCCCTTTTCCCAGATTTGGCTTGCAGCTGGGGGCATCCGCTGTGTAAAACATATGCTGAAATAGTTGGCGGTTCATTCCGCTGTGGTGACTTTGAAATAGAGACTAATCCAAAGGATAATTCATTAATGAACGAAAAGCCCTTAGGGTGGTCACGGTGGTGCAGTGGATAGCGCGATTACTTCACAGCAAGAAGGTCGCTGGTTCGAGCCCCGGCTAAGTCAGTTGGCGTTTCTGTGTGGAGTTTGCATGTTCTCCCCGTGTTGGCGTGGGTTTCCTCCGGGTGCTCCGGTTTCCCCAATCCAAAGACATGTGGTACAGGTGAATTGAATAAGCTAAATTGGCTGTAGTGCATGTGTGTGAATGCAAGAGTATATGGGTGTTTCTCAGAGTTGGGTTGCAGCTGGAAGGGCATCTGCTGTGTAAAACGTGCTGAATAAGTTGGCGGTTCATCCCACTGATAATAAAGGGACGAAAGCTTCGGTCACATTAGAGTTTGTGCGTGCGATATTCTGTCGAGCGGTGCTGCAAAAAGGGGCGGGATAAAACAAGCTTATTAGACATTTAAAAAAGCGAACGATTGCTCCATGTTTTAAATTTCTGTCCAGAGAGGTCATGTTTTGATCCTCGATTGGTCTCATGCTGTCAAATGATGCGATTTTGCAGGACAGAGTTCACCAAGCTTGAATTTTGCACCGCAGCAACCTGCGAAATTTGACGCATGACCCTGCGTTTCCGGTCTGACGCATTCGCGTGCGTATGAATGGAAGTCTATGGGAGGAAAAGCCCAGTGTGACCGCAGCTTAAGCCGAAAAGAAAATGAATGAATGAATAAATGAACAGCTCTTTATTCATCAAAATGGCTGAGGCCAATCAAATAATAAAGGTGTTTTTTTTTCGTTTTTTTTTTCTCTGTTGAACCCAAAAGAATGTTGGAAACTTGTAACCACTGACATCCATGTGCATCTATGTAAATTGTAACTGTTTCTATCCTTAATATTTGACAAGTATAGAAATGCAAAACAGTTATCAGTAATAGCTTATGAGGAAAACTGAATCCTTTACAGCAGGGGTTTTCAAAGTGTGAGGCGCGCCAGAGCATGTCAGGGGAGGCGCAGGAAAAAATATTATATAATAAAAATATTATTATTAAGTTTAATTATTATATGTATTTTTTATTATATTTAAACGTTTTAATTAAACAAAGCTAAAAAAAATTATACGTCTAAAATAAGAAAACCTTTTTTACCCAGAAGGCCATAGCTGTGAATTCGCTTCTTTTTGGCAAGCCTGCCAATACAGGTATATGCCTGCTAATACAATGGATCGGTTTCTGAGACCCCCCGATTCAAAGCCTTCAAGTTCAGGGCTTAAACCCAAAAGACGATGATATGATGATCAGTATTTGAGTTTAGGATTTACGTGGACAGGACCAGCTGATGAATCACAACCTTTATGTGTGGTTTGTCAAGATATTTTGGCTAATGACAGCATGAGACCCGCTAAACTTCGACTATTTTGCCTGGAATGGAAAGTTCTTGGAACTGTTCTATTCTTATTGAAACGTTGTATTAAAATATTTGTTATTACTCTGTAAATAATTGCACTTTTATGCGAATGATGATAAAAGTTAGTTAACAGTGTGACATCTGTCTGTGTCTTTATATATATATATATATATATATATATATATATATATATATATATATATATATATATATGTATGTATATATGTATGTGTGTGTATGTATATATATATATATATGTGTGTGTGTGTGTGTGTGTGTGTGCGTGTGTGCGTGCGTGTTTGGGAGGAGGGGGGCGCCAATGGATAAGTTGTGTCAAAAGGGAGGCCCACTGGCTTAGACTTTGAAAAACCCTGCTTTACAGATTTGGACGCTGTGTATTTAGAAATCCAATGTGTGATTTGTGTTATTCATAAAACTAATTTCATAAAATAATACATTTTCAGTGTGTTTAATGTAATTTGCTCACATACTCACATTTTTTTAATGCAATAAAAATAATAATTGAAAAAAATGCAGGTTTGGTGTGTATAAGAGAATGTTTTAGATCCGGACTTAATAATAATATAACAGTATGAACATTTCGCCTCTCTCTTATGTTTTATGTTTGGTATTATGTTCTAACATTCTGTACATTTATCTTGAATTTTCAATTCTTTTTTATCTCTCAAGTAACAGTGACCTAGAGAAACTCAGGACTGGTGCTCAGAAAACATCTCAGCTCACGCAAAATCAGGATCAATCAACGGAGGATCTGCCTGAGGACCACAACATATCACAAGCTATTATTCAAGAGGACTAATTTAAAACATTTAAAGAAGGTGATTAAACAGATGAGCTCTCGAATGAAAAGCGACCTCCTGACCACATGCTGCAGTGGATGATCTTGAAAGTACATATAGCTCTCCCTTTAAAAAAGCATGAGTGTATATAGGGAAATTTGCACATTTGTGAACTGGACTGTTTGGTCATATGTGTTTCCCTTTGTACTTTGATGTGTTATGATCGCACTGTGTGTGTGTATAAGAGCTACAGAGCAGT